TCATATATGGCAGATATCCAGAGTAATTAGGGGGTTAGCGGAGTAATTTACCATCCTTCTATCCATCCCCTCTCCTGCGGCGGGTGCGGCGGGTACCCTATATATATTCAAGTAAGTAGTCAAAAATTAACCCATATAAAGATCGATCTGCCATCAGATCCATCTCTAGAGCTACAGATATAACTGAAGATATATATATATACTCCCTCCCTCCCATAAAACCTTTCTCCTTTCTTTTTTCATTCGTCCCATAAAACACTTCTCATTTCTATTAAAAAGTCACTTTTATCCCTTACTTTTTCATACCCTACCTATCATATCATATCTTTTTACTAATAATTTAACTATCAAATTCTACTTTTACCCATCACATCAAAAGACATTTTTGAATATTCAATACCAAAATACACTCCTCTTAAATCTCTTCAAAAAGCAAAACATCTCATGTTTTATGGGACGGGGGGAGTACATATATATATATATATATATATATATATATATATATATATATATATATATAAGAAAACTGAACAGATGATTAATTAATTACCTTGAACAGGATACGATGGATTCATGGCAATTGAATTTGTAATTGATACTCGGTGAGGAGAAGAGACTAGAAGAGAACGAATATATATATATATATATAGAGAGAGAGAGAGAGAGAGAGATAGAACGAATATTCGTACTACTTAAATTTATCCATGTGTGAAACGGGTTATGATAAAACTATTTCTATCCCAACATCGCAGAGATGCACTAATATTTTGTATTGGTGTAATGCTAATTTTTGTTAATGCATCAATACTTTGTGTTAGTTTGAATTTTTGTTAATGCATTAATACTTTGTGTCAGTGTGAATCATCAAAATATTCGTCCATGCCTTTTGGGTACAAATTAGTTACAAATTTTGGAGTAAATGTAACATGCTCTTAATTTACTTTACGCGATTTCTTTCTTTGCCCTGAAGTAAGGCTAAGGCATCATTTTCCTAATTCTGCTCCGTATTTCAGTTTCGGAATTTTGAGGGTAAAAATGTTCTCTCCTCAATTAAATTGGTCCTTCAACTTCTTCTCTCATCTATGGTTACTTCTTCAAATTTGATATAAATATTTTTTACAAGTTCTATTGGCATTGCATTGTTGGTCATTCCGTTTATTTTTTCGTTTTTCAATATTAACATACGAGAGAACCACTCTTTTTCATATAACTAAGTCATACTTTATGTAAATCTATTTTAATTGAATTTATTGGTCAAGAAATACCTTGTTTGACAGTCATGGCTGGCCCGGAAACAAAAATAAATAAAATTGGTCATGTGCAAAATTCACGTATCGGGCCCTATTTTATTTTTTCAAAGTATTTGTGCTTTAAAATTAGTATTGAATTTGAATTTTAATAGCCATTTTTATAACAAATCAGATATTAAAATATAAATTTATATTAAATCTAAAAATATCAAGTAATTAGAATGATGATGAACATTTAATAACAATATGGGGCCCTAATAGGTTGGGAGCCCTATGCAGACAGCCACCTTGCACATTCTCCTGGTCCCCATGTTGATTGTTAAAAGTTAAAATTTGGTAAACATATTAAGACGAAATGAATGTATTTTTTAAAAAATGAACTAATAAAAGAATGAGTAACTTATTATTATTAAAAAAAATTAGATAATAAAAGTAAGTGTAATGTAATTATTATTAAAATATGAACCTATATTAAATATTTATGAAGAAGAAAAGGTTACTCACATGTATCTGTTATGGAAAACAAGAAAAAATCTATGGGCTAATGGTAAAATTAACGGAAGGACCAACCATCTAATGTAAATATGACTTTAAAGTAAGACTATTAGTAAAATTTTCAAAGTTAAAAAACTAATCATGCATGGTGTAATAATTTGTAAGACAAATATTACAATTCACCTCAAATGTTTAAACCAAAGAGCTTTAATTTATGGATATATTCTCTTTAACACTGTTGAAAAATCAAGTTTAAAAATGTTACTCCATGTGAATCTGGTGGAAGCATTTACTAGACATTCGTGGTTGACTTTAATAAATATTCCATCTCTGTGAAATTGGTGGAGTATATGATAAAAGAGATGCAACACAAACAATTATCGTCTGTGTTTGTCTGTGCGAAGCATGAGTGCACCCATGGTAGCACCAATGTAGTGACATCCTAGTATTTTCCATTAAAAATAACTTGCATTCTTTATTGATTTAAAAGACCAAACGGTGTGGGTGGCGTGATGGTGCCGCCTCGCTCTTTGGTGTGATCGTGATGCGCGTGATGGCCATCACATATACCACAGCGAATTTCTTCGTTCTTCTTTTCTTTCTTTCTTGTGTTGTTTTCTTCTTCCTTTCTTTTGTGGTTTGCTGTATTCCTTTCTTTCCCTTTACTTTTTTTCTACTTTTCAATTTTATTTTTTTACTTTTTGTTTGTTTTGAATTTTAGTTCTTTCGGTTAAATAAATGAAATGTTTATTTTTCGAATAAATTTTTAAAATAAAACTTTAATATTTTTATATGTAATTTTAAATTTAATAACAATAAAGTATTTATTTTTTTAGTTTAAGTAAATTTAATTAAAATAGATGTAAAGAAGAATATAAAAGGATGGAGGTATTTTTTTAATCGTGTACTTGGTCACTAAGGAGGAATACACTTTGGCTCGTTATTAGCTCGATCAATATATATGAGGACCTGGATACTGGTAAAGAATTTCTCTTTTTTTGTTTTTTTTTAATTTTTTTAATAGTTATTCTAATTTTAAAATTTACTAAAGTTTTTTATTAGCATTTTTTTGTAGCAAACTATCAAAGATTGTTAGAGTATAAAAGATAACCTAATTAACCACAAGATTGAGTTGGTTCCTGACATAGTAGCAGAGCCTTGTTGAGTAAGGGATCACGAGTTCGAACCTCACCGCCACATGATTTTAAAAAATGAAAATTTACGTGCAAAGCTCAAGCAAAAGTAAATTTCACATGTACATGAGGCAACGTGTTGGAAAAATAAAAACTTATCTCAACTACAAAATGTTTTAGAACTACATTCGCAATAAGTTTCTTGAGCAAATGGGGAAACCGGCCAACTATGGTCCGAACGATATTTTTTTGGGCAAGTGGTCTAAATTTAAGTGGCTCAAGCCACACCCATAGCCAACATCAGGCTTTGGAAGAATGAGGGTGGTTTAATATGGAGTATTTTTAAGTTTAGAATACGTCAATTTCTTGGGGTTTAATATCATCCACAAGACCTCAACCATTAACCATTCCTGTCGCTGGCCACCCGCCACTGATCACCCCCTATCCCGACTATCCCGTTTGCCACCAATAACTATCATTTGAAATCTATTTAATTATTTTTATTTCAAATTTTAGAATAATTTGTATCATATCAACCATTCAAAGCTCCCCAAACGGACCCACCCTCAAAGTTACTGTAAGTTACTAATCCTTCCGTCTCAAAATAAGACTCTTGGTTTGACTTGACACAAAATATAAGGAAAGTAAAAATTATGTAATTGAAAGTGATATTAAAGAAATAAAGATGGTAAGTCACTCAAAATTTTCCAAAAATAGAAACAAGAAATTTTTTTTGGGACGGAGGAAGTATGGTGAGAAATGAATGTTAGATCAAACCTGAAAGAAAGTAATGGTGGTCCAGGCTCCAGAGTCGTCGTCCTTCACATACTACTACTACTCAGTCTCTATAATATATATATATATATATATATATATATATATATATATATATATATATATATATATATATGTAGAGAGAGAGAGAGAGAGAGAGAGATGGAGCCCTGGGATGAGCTGTAAGAGCCTGGAACTGACACTCCATTTTTGCACCTATTCCAAAACCAACGAATGAATTAATGCACATTACACACACACACACACAGCATCAGATCCACACTTTGCATGCTTACCAGATCATATATATATCAATCAAAGTTAATAAATAATAATAATAATAATATAATAAATAATAATAATAATAATAATAATAATAATAATAAGCACAACTAGTAACTGTACTACTACTATAGACAGGGCCCCCGAGCTAAAAATGACTAATATATACAAGAATATGAGTTATTTTTGGGGATAGAACCCATTGTCCCTTCCTACAAATTGAGGAACCTCACTTGAGAACTTGCTTGGCATCATCATTATACTAATAATCATTCATCCATCTTAATGATGTGTGTGTGTGGGAGGGGGGGGCATTTTGATTAATATCCAAGGATGGGGTAGCTGCACAGAAGAAGAAAGTTTGAGCTAATAGACAAATAATCACTCTTAACAACTTAGTACACACACATGATAGTGGGATAGGTTTCTCTCCTCTACCCTATATAAGACAACCTAATTGTGATTGGGTTGGGTTGGGTCAGTTGAGTGGTGACTCCACACTGCACACAGCTGTCCAAATACTGAGCAAATTAAAAAGGAAGATGCATATATACATACATATACACATGCATACATATACATACATACAATGCAAATGTTTTGTTGTTGTTAATGAACACTCACTGACTCTCTTCCTTGTTTTGGCATCCAAACAATATATATCCCATTCCAAAACAGCTGTCACCTTTTTTTTAAATTTTTTTAATTTTTTTTGATATATTATTCACAGTCACCCATTTCACAAATACCACACATCAAGACAAAAATAGTTCAGAGATTTGAGCCTTGATTCTAGTTTGTTGTTTTCCTACCCACTTGCATTGCTGGAAACAACACACTACTAAATACACCAGTGAGCTTTCTTCTTCCTCCAAAAAGAAAGAAAGAAAGAAAGAAAGAAAAAGAAATTTGACATTCATTTCTGCTTATCATTACCATTTGGATTCAGAAAAAATGGATTATGGCAGTGGGTGTGAGTCTGGGTGGACTGTGTATTTGGAGAACTCTTTTATTCCTCCATGCACCATTTCTCATAAGAGTGATGAGTTTCATGTTCAAAGGGAGAAGGGGGAGTATGAGGAAGAGGAAGAAGATTTATCTATGGTTTCAGATGCATCTTCTGGTCCTCAGCAGAACTTGGGAGAAGAGGATTATGGGTTGTGTTACCATGCTCCTGTTGATGCTGCATTGTTGTTGCCTGCTAAGATTTCTAATGTCAAGAGGCAGAAAAAGAAAGAAAGTAGGCTTGGCAAACTGAATGAAAAGGCTTCAGCTCTTGATGATACAGCCAGTTCTCCCATCTTCACCTGCACTAATGTAAGTGTCAATACTGCATCAGCAAATTTAGATTTTTCTTTTTTTGTTGAAGATAATACTAAGGCTCTGTTTGGTAGTCATAAATTGCTTAGTCACTGTTTTAATCAAGCAGGATGAGTGAAAGAGTATTGTGGGGTTGAAATGTGTGTTTCCAATTACCAAACACTTTTAGTTTAAGAAAAATCAGCCACATCAGGCCTTCACCAAACGGGGACTAAATCACTAAATGTATGGTATTGTGCAGAATAACTACAGCATCAACATCCATCAGAGCTCAGCAGAGAATGTAATAACAGACTTTTCACAGGGCTACTCAACAACTCAGTTTCATGGGCAACCTGCACACCAAGAGCACACTGACCTCTTTCAGTGCTCTCTACTTCCTGCAAACCAGTTGCAACCAAATCAGTTGAGTTTCCTTCTCCAATTCCATTTTCTTTAAATAATCACTATCTTTCTCTAAACCTGAAAAAAATCATGCATTTAAACAAATATTCATTTCTTATTTTTTATTGATATTTCTTGACAGGTGGTTTGAAGAGAGGAGGTGGGGATATTAGGACATAATATTTTTGTTGTTAATGCTGCTTGCAGCTTAGTTTCATGTTAAGATCTGAAAAAAAAAGAGATAAATGTTCCTCTTCATTTCTATTCTTTTCTTCATCTTTCTGCTATGAATGCAATGGGAAACAACCCAAGATAAAAACAATAAAAAAAGAATGTTTTCCCATCCTGTTTTGCAGAATTGTAACTTGTTTTTAACAGTCCAAACATGTAACCAAGTTACTTTGTTAGTGTCTGCAAGGTCACACAAAAATCCAAGCAGTAACCTCAAGAAACAACAACAAAAGAACAACTGAGCTTTGGTTACTTTTTTATATACTCCACATGAAAACTATGTTTACTTAAAAAGTAAAGAGAATAACTAATAAATAGTCTTTGATACTGATACATTGGAGACACAAATTCTGCCAAATCATTCTCAATCTGAAACAGGAAGGTTCTTTGCTCATTTCTTAACTGCTAACTGAGTCTAAGTGAAAAACAGGACAAGAAACACCAAATTCCAATGTATTAAAAAAAGAATTTATTAAATCTCGCTACACAAAAGCTCATCATTAAGTGGAAGTAGAAAAGAAAATGATTGGCTTATAGTATTGACAAAACTCAATGTCTCTTCGTGTCCAGACAAGGTTGGATTAAAGTTACAACTCCCATAATGAATCCAAATTCTGTTCTTTGAATATTGGTGGGAAAAAGAAATAATTCAAAGAAAGGCTCAGTCAGATCAGAAAAGCAGATAAATTAGATTGTATCAAATGAACCTTCATAAACTTTTTAAGTTATCCGTGCAGAAGTCTTCTTCATGCTCACCTCCTTAACCAATTTGGAAGAATCCTAATATTCTAATGACCTTTTGATTTATTAATGTTTCATTGTCGCACATTCATGTCAATGATACTCATATCCTATCTCTACTATATTTTTGACAAACGGAGTGAGTATATGTTTTTAATAAAATAAAGGTAAAGTTGTCCTTTTCAAATATTTTGCAACTGGACTAGAAAAAAGTCTCCAAAAGAGCAAAGAGTGTTTCAAGTCAAGCTCCATGATTACAAAGATATGACATACAAACTGTAATGTGAGCACCCCAGGTAGTATTGATTCATCTTTAATTCAGAAATAGGAAGAGAAAAAAAAACCCTTTAATAGGAAGAAGAGGCAATTAGTTGCCACTAAATGCAATGCAACTCACCCCAACTAGTTGGGACGAACTGATGAAGATCGTCATCAAGATCATGTAATCAAGTCACAGATAAAATATTCAAGCGTGCAAGGGAAAATATCGCCGTTTGTATCTGTACAACCAAGCATGAAGCAAAGGCATGGGGGGATAACAGTTGTACCCTGCAAACTACCATCAAAACAAAGGCTCCAAACATTGGAACATGGCACAAAAATTGAGTGTTAGGCTGTTTCGGAGCATATGATTTAAAATTCTTGGGAGCTAAAAATGAATCTCATTTAGGGCTGTTCCCAGTTCTCATGACAACAGCATTAACCTCCCCCTGCGCAGAAACTGTAAGTGATTTTGATTTTCTATCTCAGTCCTTATCTTTTCTGCAAACTTCCAATTTTGGGGCCCACACACATGTGGTATCCATCAGTAAATCAAGGTGTATGGTGTACTTCTTAACAGGTTGTTGTACTAACTTGGAAGTTGCAAATTTCTAAAGGTTAGGCAAACTTTGAACAAAAATCTAATCTTTTTGCCTGAACTTGGGAGTCTAGCCAACTCTTTAATGGTATTTGGGGTAGTAATCAAATATCAGTTCTGATCAAAATTGAGGCTTCTAAGGGAGGCTTCACGGGCCCCACCCTAGGCGGTATTAACTTTTATGTAATATAGTCATGGTAATAGAAACAGAAACATCTTTCTTAAAAGAAAAGGTTGTGTTATCTTTAGGATATTTCCAGTGGTGGATTTGCAATCTAACTATCTAACCCAGACAGCTGTCATACCATCATAAAGTTGAAGTCAGTTGGGACCTAGGAGCCCCTCCATAAAACAAACCCACAAATCATTTTTAACCAGAAATCTGAATAAATATCCAAGTTGAAGTTTCTCAGCTATCTGGACACTGATCATTTGTGGGTTACCAAGTTGACAGACTTAAAAAGAGAAATGATTGAAAAAAACAATTTCACATTATATAGAAGCAATCCAATAAAAAGAGTTTTGGACAGCATGAACCATGTTAGAGACACTTCACCTCTCACTCCACACTTCACCCCATTTTCTCACAACATGCAAAGACAATGTTTCTACTCAATGTCGGTGGATATCTATGAGAAGGCTGGTGTGAAAAGTGGGGTCAACCATGCTAAGCACTTTATGACATTATGTGGACAATGCTAAGCACTATATTTCTTGGAACAAAAAAAAGAGAAATAAGTTGTTAAAGTATCCCGTATTGGAACTTGATGAGAAGACAAATCGGTATATAAGCTCTTGAGTTAAACTAAGTAATCGACTAGATTCAGTCTTTTAAATATGATTCAGCTCAAGTATCTTATGGCCATATCCAATAACCCTTACCCCATCCTGAATTTTATCATGGTATCAAAGCCAGTTTTAGCCGACCTTGTCTTTCAAGGTGTTCGTCCAAAACGTTCATTCCTTGCGGCCCTAATCTTTAGCCCAATTGTTCGTGTAGAATGTATATCCAACGGACTGTGGCCCGTTTAACCCGATTGCCCGTCTGAAAGTTCATACCCAGTAGCTCATGGTCATTTAAGTGTCAGCGCTCAAAAAAATATTCAAATGGATGGGAATTCATGCCCAATCCAATAACCCCTACCCCCCATACTGAACTTTATCATAAGTTTGCACAAAATTTAAGAAAACAAAATTGTACAGCGAATGCATGAAATTTTAGAATATGAAAATTACTCCGTAACAAACAAGTTCTTCTTTATTTTTTTCCTACATGCTCCACATTATTTTGGTACATTTTAAAAGAGACATTAAAGAAACAACACAAAACCTATAGATAAATACTAACTCCAATGGCTCTAGGGGTCAAAATGTATGAATGCTTACAATTTGATACAAAACTTCCTAGAGAGTAAGAAGTGAAGACAGTTTAATGTGCAATTTTAAGAAGTGAAGAAAGTTTAATGTCAAAAGATTAGGAGAAAACAAGGCAGCAAATCTGGTGATTCCCAATGGGGAAAAGAAAAGAATTTCCATCCCAAAGTGTGCACAATACTACACAATAGAAACTCTATTCCCCTCTACCGCCGGAAAGAAACTAAAGCCATCAGAATCGCAAGAACCTTTTTTTTAACTGAAGCAAAAGAACAAACACCTGAGCTGCAGGAACCTACTCCGCATCATCATCACCATCTCCCAAACCATCGCCGCTATAGCCACCCCCCAATGTGCATATCCTTTCCCATACACTTTCCTCCACCGGGACAACCGACAACCTAGGCTGCCGGAAAATAGCAAACCCCTTCAACCCATCGTCCCTTTTCATCTCCGCCAAGTCAACGGGCCTTCTCATCTCTCCCACCGCCTCCACGTCCACCGCGCCGCCGCCATCATCCGAGTACCAGCCGCGAACCACCGTTACGACGCCCACAACTCGCCGGGCTCTGGTGCCGGAATGGTAGAAGAAGCAGAGGTCCCCTGGGCGCATGGATTTCATGTACTTCTGGGCTTGCTTGTTCTTCACCCCGTCCCACTTGGATAAACCCCCGTTGGCGGATTGGTCCTCCCACGACCACTCTCCCGGCTCCGTTTTCAGCAGCCAGTAGGAATTTTTCTCGCTCATCTTGCCTCGAGTCTGGGATTTCGGCAGAATTCGATTTCTTCGCTGAAATATAGAGCGCGCGTTTTCCATTGGCGCCAAAATATATACTCCTTCCCGCCGTGTTTTGTACTGAAAAGTGCCAACTGGCGCCAAGTTCGGCCCTCTCCTCCGACTCCTCCGAGGGAAATGGGTGGTTAGGGTCGGGTACCAATCGAACCTTGAATGTGTTCTTTATCAAGATCATGTGCTTATGAAAATTGTTTCACATCCTAATGGTCACGAATCACACTTACATTTCTTAGAGGGTATTTGTGAACGTGATGAATTTTGAAAAAATAAATGTACTAAAGTGGAAGTAGAAATCAATGACTCCAAACTTTAGTGAAAAATTATGTCTCTAGTACAATTTACATTACTAAAATCACAATCTATAATCTAAAACTAATTGAAAAGCATTTAAAATGGTGTTTCAATGAAGTCGAAGTTCAAAAGTTTATTTCAACACACTCCCAAACACCTTTTAAGAGGATTATAGACTTGTAGATTGAGTAGATTGTTTCTTCTTCTAATTTCATGAGTTACTGAGAGCTTTCCACTTTCATTTTTTATTTGACCAAAAAAATACTTCTGTTTTCAATTAAATTATCTCTTTCACCTCTATAAACTATTTATCCAATAGTACTTATCACATAATATCTATTTATTGTTAATTTATTGCATCATAAAGTAATTTACAATAAAGCATTAGTAAAATTAGAAAAAAACATTACATTTTACATTCTTAATCGTACGGAGTATTTTTTTTTAAATAGGAAAAATGTTATGTGAAATGTCAGAATGAGTATTTAACGTGTGACATTGCTCTACCTTATAAATCATCATTCAAAAAAACAAATTATTAATAAATATGAAGCAAAATAAAATACTATAATACCCTTAATATTTCATTTACTTTTTTCACATCTACAATTAATTTCATATAAGACTTTCTTATTTCAAACATGTCATTTTAAAGTTTGTTTTAATTTGTCTGAAATTAAGACTCTTAAATGTTAGGATTATCCGGAAGGCTTTCTAATGGAGAGTAGTGTTGATAATATCTCACACTAATTATATTTGGCCAACAAGCTTAGCTTGTTTGCGACATTACTACAAAAAGGGTAAACTTACGGCCTCATTTGCATCGTTTACGAGAGTAAAAAGGTTGAAATATTGTGCGGTTTAGTCTGCGCGTAGAATTTTATGCAGCCCTTATGTTACATTAATTAATTAAAGTTAAATAGCACCAATAACCTTCATGATTTGGAAAATATGCAACAATATATCTCGTGTTTTCAAAATTTATTTCTAAAGTTCCCCTCATTTCAAAACGGTGCACCAATACCCCTCTGATCATTTTTCTACTCATTTTTCTTGCGAAGAAAAGGACGTTAGTGCATACTTTCCAAATCATAAGGAGGGCATTAGTGCTTATTTCTTATTTTGCGTTTATTTTTAATTTTCCTTTTGTTCCTTTATTTGTTTCTTTTATTAATCAAGGGTTTTGTAAATTTCTATTTAATTTTTTGATGATGTTCTTAAAGGCATCCAAATTATAAGGAATTTTTTAAGCATTTTGAAAATTTCTTTTTGTATAGGACTCTTTTTTTTGCATGTTTCAGTTTTTTCAATAGTTTTTTTCTATATTTTTATTTTTTCTTCCGGATTTCCCTTTTGAATTTACCAAAAACATTCCTGAAAATAAGTAAATTGTTTAATTTGAGATAAATATAGTACATGTTAATTTTTATATTTTTAGTTTTATTTCAAACACAAAGAATTTTGAATTTTTTAAATCAATATAAAAATTGAAAATATATTTAAAAACCTTTATAGGAAAAAGAAAAAAAAGAGCTAAAAAAGATGAAAAGATGGGAAAACAAAAAAATAAGCGAAAAACTAAGTAATGAGCTCGAGTGCTCCCTATGATCTAGAAATTGGGCACCAATGTCCCTCTTTGCCAAAAAATGATCACAGAGGTTGTGAGTGCAAAGTTTTGAAACCATAAGCCTAAAACATAATGATTTTTTCAAAAAAAAGTTTACCTAAATAGGACTAAAACATAATAGTTTTTTCAATATATAGACTATATGTTTTTATTTTTCTCAATGCAGGACTTTTGGTCACTATCAATTAATCATTATTCAACTAAATGTCCATTATTACTAGACATTATTTCTCTCACTAGACATTATTAATTTATATTTAGGGAATAAAAAGTTTTAATACCTATATTAAAAATGACTTACTCCTTCCGTCCCAAAAAGTCTTTCATGTTTCATTTTTTGCGCATCCCATAAAACACTTCTATCCCGCTTGAATGCCAAAAAACTTTCAAATTAACTTCTATCTATAATAAAGAAGAAATGTTGTAAATTTTAGGCATTTTAGATGTCGATAGAAGTGTTTTATGAGATGCGCAAAAAATGAAACAGGAAAGACTTTTTGGGACGAATGGAGTATGTTTTAGTTTTGTTTAGTGTAAATTTCGCATTTTTCAAACCACATGTGACATTAGAGGTTTTTGACCATTAATTAATGTATGAAAGTGTTAGGTATCTAATTACTAGTTATCTATGCATTTATATATGGTTGTAACTAGCTAGCTATGAGGCAAATGGCTTGTAATGCATGAGAGATTTGATTAAGTTGCGCACAGATCCGGCGGCGGCGAGAAGAGAGACAAGCAAGCAGACAAAGCTAACCCCCTGCAAACAACCCCACGTTAAAGACCATTTCCGAACTCTCCCTTTCACAATGTACATCTCGATGGGGAAATATATGGTGAGCGGCCAGAAGGAAATGGCTCCCAAAAGTCCCACGAACGCATTGAAGAAAGGGAACACCAGCGCCGCCGCCACCGTCCCCGCCACGTAGCTGCTCCGCCACAGAAACCTAAACGGGCTCACCTCCACCGTGCCGCCGCAGAGCTCGTACTCCGCCCCCCTCATCACCCAGCCGCCCTCTCCCCACCTCCTCCTGCACCACCCCTCCACGAACGCGAACACCGGCTGGGAGAACACCTGGTAGGCCCCCACGAGGTGCACGGCGATGCAGGCGTTGGCGAACGCCAGCAGCTGGCTCGTAGAAGGCGTGGTCGTCCGTCAGGAGATTGCCCGGAGCGTCGATCCCGAACGCCGCGTAGCCGAGGGCCCCGCAGAGCGCGTAGAAGACGGAAGACACGGCAATCCCGACGCATGTCGCCTCCTTCATCACCCTCTTCTCTCTAGACGATGCTCTCAATGTATCCTGCATGCATGCATGCACAAAAATCAATTCAACGAAAAACTCAAACTTTAACTTTGCACAAAGTTTTGACTTTGACCGGGGCATGCCTGGATTTCAATGAGAACAATGGAGAAAGCAAAGGAGATGGCGATGTTTCCGATAGCGGAGAAAATGTTCCACATCTTGTCCATAGCCGAATTCTGAGCTCCGATTGGCACACCCGCCACACTTGTTCTCCCGTGCACTCCACCTGTTGTACGTACATTACCATACATTCTCATCTGTTGTCGATTCGTAAAAGTAAAATAAAGATAATTTTGAGACAAACGAACGATAAAAGAATCGTGTGACGTTTCATAAACAACTTGATTAATTAGTAGTTTTGAGATTATATCAAACCTACTAGCGATTCTTGCAGCGGATAGAGCAACACCGATTAAGGAGTAGCTAAACGACATGAGCGAAGCAACGACAGAGACGAATGAAAGTTTACGAATGTTCGGTATCTGGCTCAGAATGATCTGTAACACTCCGAACTCGAGTATGTAGTTCCGGGTCGAAGGGGTGCATTCCGACCTTTGTCGCCCCTTCTTGTGATAGCAAATCGTTCTTTCGATTGCCCTATTGTTCAAGGTAAGAATTGGCATGGTGTCACAATGTTATTGAAATTTGTTTAGAAGAAAGAAAAATATCAGGAAGACACATATAAAATTACCCTAAGCTGAGAGCGGTGGTGATTGCATATCCAGTGCTAAGGCCAATTAGTGTGGCGTATTGGGCAATTGCGCAAAACATGAAATTCTTTCCGCCTAAGTAACATAATTAATTAATCAATGTGCCAGTGTTAGACAGTAATAATAATTATTTCTATTTACTGGGCATGTCACAACTTATAATAAATCAATAGTAACAAAACCAATTTTGGCTCTCTGTCTCATATTTGTACCTAGATGGGTCCTGACGGCATCCATGTAAGAATGGTTGCGGGTCCCGTCAGGCGAACGGTAGCAGTCGGTGAGCAAGATGGAAGTGTAGAGAGTGATGATGGAGAAGACCATCAGAACGATGGGCCCTGCGATGGCTCCGAGCTGAGCCATCGCCCACGCCAACGACAGCACGCCGGACCCTATCAGCGCCGTTATTATGTGTGCACTTGCCGTCACCACTGTTCCTGCGTCCATTTTTTTTTCGAAATATAAGGGTCCGTTTGGTACACGGAATTAATGGAATTGTAATTGAATTGGAATTGAAATTCCATGAGATACAATTCTATAGAATTGAATTCTGCCAATTCCAATTCATTTTTTGCACTATCAATTCCAAATTCACACAATTTTTGTACTACCAAACACCAGAATTGGAATTGAAGCCCTCAATTCCAATTTCATAGTTTGAATTCCGTATACCAAACGGGGCCTAAAAAAATTATGGATCACAATATAAATATTTCAAGTAATTAAGAATTTAAAAATCCAGATCGAAACAAAACGAGATTAAATCAAATAAATTACAAAAAGAGGGATGTATCGATCTTACTCACCAGTTCTTTTGAGACGTCCGTCGTCGTCGAAAACGGAGTCTTCAGCTCCCCCTTCTTGAATTACAACACTCGACGTTCTCTCCATTTTTTTTCCAACAAAAAATAATTATTTCTGCATGAAAAAAAAAACGTTATCTATCAATATATGATCGAGTCTGATCTATGTATGAATTGGGGAAAAAAGTTATAAGGGTGTAAAAATATTTTCTTTATGGTAAAGATTTGTTGGGAGGAGTTAATTAAGAAGTTTTTTTTTTTACACATTTGCATGAAATGAAATCTAAGGGAGAAGGGTCGTGTATTTTTGTGTTTTGGTTGGGTCATTGCAGTTGCAGAGAAAAGCATAGAAATTAAAACACGTGCGTGCCATTAAAAAAGGAGATATATGGCAACTGAGATAGAATTACTAACGTAACTGCCCGCTTTTGGAGTAGGAGATCGGCTACATGTCTCATTCTATTTTTCCTGCAAAATATTGTTTCTATTTGACTTTTCTTGGTCAAAGTTTATAAATTTTAACTATGATATGTGAAAAAAATACATTGTATTACGATATAACTTTAATATGAATATATATTCATATTGAAATATAGTTTTCAAATATCAAATTTTTATAAAATATATCCATATATAAATAAAGATATTAATGGTCAAAGTGCAATTTTGGAGACCGTAAAAAGTCAAATGGGAACAACATTTCCGGACAGAGGGAGTAATATTCTAATATAAATAAACCTAATATGGATGATCCCATTTGTACACCAGACAAACACAGACACTTAATATCTATGATCTACAGACGCTACGTGTCTGCTTTTTTTTTGTATTTGCCTGAGAGAATTTACTTAAATACCACTAAAATATAACACTATAAAAATATTTGCAATAAGTGGGGTATAAGTCCCCCTCTAATTAGTGAGAATCCGCCCCTAAATGCATTTTAGCGGTGACTTAGTGGCGGAACATGATCCGGTGCTAATCGGGCCCATGCTATTTTAGCGGGAGATCGAAGAGTCCGCCGTTAATTTTTAGAAGGGGACTTTTCCGCCGCTAGTTTACAGTTATTAGAGGAGAATTGTTTCGCCGCTAAAAGTCTGCATAATTAGTTAGAGGGGGGAAATCCCCGGAAGATCGATTTTTTTTTAAAAAAAAAAAATTGTATTAATACAATAAAATAAACAAAAGAAGAAGACCTGAACATCAATTATCATTAAAAAATAACTTAACTTATGCACAACACCACACTTTCTACTACACAAACAAGAAGTAAGTTTCAAAATATATACTCCCCTAGTCCCAAAAAATCTTTCCTGTTTCATTTTTGCGCATCCCATAAAACACTTTTATCCCGCCTTGAATGTCAAAAAGACTTTCAAAATAACTTCTACCCACAATAAGAAAAAAATGTTGTAAATTTTAGGCATTTTAGATGTCTGTAAAAGTGTTTTATGGGATGTGCAAAAAATGAAATAGGAAAGACTTTTTGGGACGGAGCGAGTAAAATGTATTTCGAATTCATTACAAGTGGCTCAACATCTTCTTGAGCTTTGTATGGCTGCCATGTAGCAGTGAAACGGCCAGCGTCTTTTCTAGTCAGAATAGCCAACCATCACCTATGCACGCACACACATCAAAGCATGAGATGAGGCCAACATATATACTCCCTCCGTCGAGGAAAACATGTAAGTTTTGATTTTGAAGAGGGAGTGTATTTTGGTATTGAATTTCCAAAAATGTCCTTTGATGTGATGGAGGTAAAAGTATGATTTGATGGATAGATTATTAGTAAAAAGATATAATGTGATAGGTAGAGTATGAAAAAGTACGGGGTAAGAGTGACTTTTTAATAAAAAATGTGAAGTGTTTTTTGGGACGGATGAAAAAAGAAAGAAGAAAGATTTTCAGGGACAGAAGGAGTAGGAAACTAATGCACCACATATATATATGTAGCGGTGCTTTTAATTTACCTCATGACATTCTCTCACTTTCCTAGAATCTCTAGATATAAGTATTAACCTCGAAAAAAAAATAGTTTTGCATTTTAGTTGTTATACTAAAACTCAAGTGGTGCAAACTACTTGCATTAGGATAATTCCAAAAACCCAGGATTGCAATTTGCAAGGTTCACCATCAGGCTATTCAAAAAGAAGGCTGAACTGCAACTCACCTGACTGTGAAACCGCAAATATAATCAAACTCAACCCATTGACATCCAAGCTCAACACCCTAGTCAAGACTGCAGAATCAAGCAGATAAAAGTTTCTACTCTCCGTTCATTAAAATCATTCCTCTTTCATTTTTTTCCCCCCTTAAAACACTTCCTTTTACTGTTAAAAAGCCACTTTTTAATAGTAAGAACATAGAGTTTAACAACGAATTGAACCTGCAAGCAGTATCCAAATACTTTAGATAACTTTTATCAAATGTTGGATGTTCATGATCGAGGGGGATATGCCTATCTATATTCCTTAATAAATAAAGCCATTCTAGTAATATCATAATAACCATATTGATCAATAACTATAACTGTAGAGGAATTTGTGATTGATCACAATACTAATTAAACTTCCCATTTAATAAACAACGTTTGAAGAAAAATGTCTATAAACCCTTTCTAAGAAAACTAGAATCCAGTAGTACAGATTAAGTGGAGTATTGACAAGTTAGTTCCCGTTCACAAATGCTACCTAAGTCAATTCGAAAATACTCCCTCCGTCCCAAAAAGTCTGACACGTTTCGAAAAAACTGTGTCCCGTAAAGTCAGTTACATTTCTATTAAAAAACCACTTTTACTCCTTACTTTTTCATACACTACATATTACATCATACCTTTTTCCTAATAATCTACCTATCACATCCTACTTTTACTCATCACATCAAGGATAATTTTGGAAAGTCAACACCAAAATATCTCTCCCTTAATTTCCCAAAAAATCAATATGTACCAATCTTTTTGGGACGGAGGGAGTATTACATTGTTATAATATTAGAAAAAAGTCTAAACTAAGAATAAAATATAGTAGAAAATAAATCAAAATAAGAGTTTCATTTTTTATTCTCAAAATAAGAGTTAAAATGTACGTACTCCGTGTATACAATAATAAGCCAACACTCCCTTCGTCCCAAAAAGATTTACACCTTTCAAAAAAATTGTGTCTCACAATCTCCTACCCATTTCTATTAAAAACCACTTTTACCCTTTACTTTTTCAAATCCTACCTATCACGTCATACCTTTTTACTTATAATTTACACATCACATCCTACTTTTACACATCAAATCAAGGTTATTTTTAGAAAGTCAACACAAAATTATCTCTCATTTAATTCCTACTTTAGTCAAAATGTGTAAAACTTTATCGGACGGAGGAAGTATATAATACCAAAAAATATTGTAAAATATCCATATACAATGCCGCATTATCACAGTAGAAGCTCTATTCGGTTTATATAGGTCCGGTCTAATCCATATCGGTCTGGTTCGGTCTAAAACTGATTTGTCCAATCTTCGGTCTAAATTTTATAACAAATAGGTCTTAGGTCCGATCCCATTCTTGATCGAACACTTCAAAGTTCATGTTTTCTTCACCTGATCTGAATCATTTTGATCTGAATGTAATTAGTTATGATTTAAAACGGTTTATGAAGAAGAAGAAGAAGAGTACGTGGGGCCTTCGTTTTAGTCATTCCTTTGTTTGTATTAGAGTCATCCTTGCTTTAGGGCTGTTTGACAACTTCTGAATAGGTAAGTGCTGAACCATTAAGAGGTCTGAACCATTAAGTGTTGAACGAGTAAGAGGTCTGAACCATTAAGAGCTAGTATATTGCTTAACTATTCAGAGGCAAATGTTTGATCAATTCAGATAAGAGGTCTTAAGCATTCAGACTCTGTATAATACTTAACCATTCAAAAGCAAATCTCTTAACCATTCAAACATCTGAACCATTAAGAGGCTGAAACAAACAGTTTGAACATTAGGTCCTGAACCATTCAGGTTGAAACAAACAATCCCTTAATTATTCTTGCTTCTCCGAGTCCGACCCGTATATGAAAAAAAGGTGACCCGATAAACAAAAACAGCTGTCGTGTAGTTGTACTCCGTACCCAATCCTCCTCCTCCGATCCCCAGCTACTGCTGATGATGATGAAGTTCAAGTGCGTGCATGCCCCACCCCACCCCTTTCTTTATCAATAATCCCAATTCCCAGGCGCGTTGAATCATTCCTTTTTGTTTTGTTTTTCAATAGGCAAAGGATTAGATGCCATGCTAGCGACATATATAGAGTCTATAAAGAAGTTCCAACGAACTCGCAAAATCAAATAATGAAATAGTAAAATTTGCACTAGTAAAACATAATGTCTTTTCAATGTAGGACTTAAACTTTTTTATTCGCTAAATAGGACTTAATAATGACCTAGTGGGAAGAATAATGTCCAGTAATGATGGACATTTACTTGAATAATGACTACATGATAATGACCAAAAGTCCTACACTGGGAAATAAAAACATATGGTTCTATATTGGGTCATTGGGAAGTCATTATGTTTTAGTCCTATTTAGGTAAATTTCTCAATGAAATATTCATTAAAAAAAATTAATGATCTCAATTCTCAAGTAGGAATAGAAGTCTCGAACCGCAGAGAAGATAACGTCTTCATAAGTAAGTCGATCTTGTAGAAGTAGAGAGATATAGGTATTCGTTGTGTAACGAACAAGCTCGAGAATGCATGTGATGATTTTTTTCCAACGGGGAGTGTCAGCGATTGGAGCAACGGTGATGAGTTTTTTGTTTCTATTTTTGGGTATTCATGCTCTCGAACTCTAGAAGAGACACAAATAAATAAATGTGGCATTGCAGCTTTTCCGTCATGTACACGAATTTTTTGAGAGAGAGAGATGGATAAAGGACGACGGTCTTTAGGCACGCTAGTCGAGATCGGGGGTGATTGTTAAGCGCACACACTCCTTTTTGGAGAGAAGATCAGAGAGGGGTAATGTACGAGGATCTTTTTGTTATTGACTTACAAATTCATATCTCGCGGTATACTTCATCCACCATATTTATGAGTGTACATGGGATGAGGGACCATATATATGGCATATGGGACGTTGTTCATCCTTTCTGTTCATTTTGTTATTTTTTTTTCTTCAAATGATAATAACAATAATAATAGAAAATTTAAAGTAGACCAACTTGGATCCATGTTTCTAGATGAAAAAAATGATGATCTTGTTAATAAAATACGAGTAATTTATCTAAGTAAGACTAAAACATAATGACTTTTCCAATATAGGACCATATGTTTTTATTTTCCAATGTAAGACCTTTGGTCATTATTAATTAGTCATTATTCAAGTAAATGTTTATCATTACTGGGCATTATTCCTCCCACTAAGACATTATTAAATCTTATTTAGGGAATAAAAAAGTTTAAGTCCTAGATTAGAAAAATCATTATATTTTAATTCTATTTAGTGCAAATTTCACATACTCCCTCCGTCCCCCTGTATTTGTCCACTTTCATTTTTGCACACCATCTAATGCACTTGTTTAATCTATTTTATCTTGTAATTTGTATATTAAAAAATTATAAAAATTATATATTAATAATCTACTCCCTCCGTCCCAAAAATATTTACATCTTTCAAAAAAATTGTGTCCCATAATCTCCTACCCATTTCTATTAAAAACTCACTTTTACCCCTTACTTTTTCAAATCATACCTATCACATCATACCTTTTTTCTAATAATCTACACATCACATTTTACTTTTACCCATCACATCAAGGATATTTATGGAAAGTCAACACAAAATTATTCCTCCCTTAATTTCTACTTTAGTCAAAGTGGGTAACACTTTATGGGACGGAGGAAGTATATGTTAAGACAAATCAAACAAGATAAGTCAAAATGCTTAAATGAACAATTCCAAAAGTTAAATGTGGACAAATACAGGAAGACGGGGGAGTAAGATATTTGCAAGTAGAAAAATATAAATAAATAAATAAATAACCCGTAAAAGAAATTCGCTCTGTATATAGAGCGGCAAGAAGAGTCCAAGCGACAAGTTTATGCTCGTCTAATTGCCAGGCCGGATTTCTCTCTCCTCCAGCTCATCCCTCCCTCCTCTCCGCACGCACTCTATAACCATTATTACGGAGTATTATTTTCATATTCATTTTTAAGGTGTTTATCATTTAAAAAATTCTGGTTTTTATTTTACTAAAAAATGTGTATTTTATATTTCTTTAGTTTCAAAATTAAATTGGAAAAATTTATACAAATACTCTCAGAAATTTGGAATTTTATAATAATACTCCCAAAATCAAATAAAGACATTGATGCTCCCAATTAAGTTTTAAGTTTACATCATTACTCCCATTTTGCTTAATCAATTTTTCTAATTATGTTTACATATAATTAATTGATAGATTGTGCTTAATCAATTTATAGTTTACCTCTTCCCACAATAGGGGGGTTTAAAGGGACATACAGATTAGCACAAATATTATTCTTGCAATTCGGACCCGATCGACTTTCTTTGTTTGATGAAGATGAAGACGCGAAAAACTCCACAGATTTGAAGCAGATCCTTGCTTCTGATGGTTTCTCAATAAAACTCCATAAACAATTGACATCTTTCCTTGTGAGAGAGACTATGTGTGATATGAAGAAAGAAGAAAAGTCATTCGTAAAGATTTACCGTTAAACCTTAGGTATGAAAAGTGGAGATGGATAAGTTTTGATTGTACTGTACTCTGTATTTTTTTTGAACACACGAATGGTTATTATTCTTTAAAATAGAAAATAGAAATTAAATTTGCCAACTGAGCTCATTTAATGACACCTAAAAGTAAGAAAGATTGATTAGGTACAATGGGAGTAACCATGTAAACATAAAATTTAATTGGGAGTGTAGGAGTCTTTATTTTATTTTGAAAGTATTATTGTAAAATTCTGAATTTCTGGGAATATTTATATAAATTTTTCCAATTAAATTCTATTTTTAAAAAAAGACTTGCTAATTCTGATAGGACGTAGTATCAAACAAAATCAATGAAATACAGAGTAGACCAATGACATAAAAGGAACAAAAATTTTGAGAACAATAGAATTATTATTTCTTGAGAAAATTGCCAAACCTTTTCCATATACGTACAAGATAAGGTATTCAATGTTTTTATGCCAAATTAAGACTTATAATGTCAATGATTTACTTCAGTAAACAAAAATATACGAGATCTTATTTTTATATAGATTTAATTTTTTAGTCTAATTTAATTTGTTTTATTATTTAAAAATAGTTTTCAATTAATCCATTCTGTTCTTTCATTTTTCTTAATAAAGAAATTGGGTAGATGGCAGAGGAGTTATTTTTTTAACAACCATTACAAATTTTATTTTTAAAAAAAGGGTACAACAAGGGGGACTGGGTCTTACCCCTCCGAGAGAAATACATGTGAAAAACTAAGGGAGAAAGACTAAAGTATGACTAAAATATTTTTTATTCTCGAAATAAGACTTACATTATCAAACATGATTTTGGATTTCAAATTTGGATTTGGCTCAAATTCCATATTAGGGAAACTTAAAAATTTTTAATTTAGATTTGAGTCAAATCATTCTCATTCATAACAAAACTTAATTTGAAACACATGCACCTCTCCTTGTCATTTCAAATTCAAGATTTCAAATTTCGGAATTGAAATGCATGAATTGAAATGAAATGTTACTTGCCAAACACTACCTTATTTCAATTGCAAAAATAAAAATCAATTCTTGAATTTCAAATAACAAGATGAGTATATAAATTTCAAATTGAGCTTTATTATGAATAAGAGTCATTTGACTCAAATCTAAATTCAAATGGTTATAATTTTCCAAATATAGAATTTGAGCCAAATCTAAGTTTCCAAATGTCCCACTCCGTATTACATTGTTTAATTTAAACAACGTATAAAATCTAAAACATCAAAAAAGATTCTGGTTTGTATAGAAACAAAAAGTATAAATTATATTTTTAAAAAGTATAAAAAAATTTTACAAATCAGGATGTGACATAAATATTTTATTTTTCAAATATAAATTATATATTTGAACACATGCATAAGTTATTTTGAGACGGAAATAACATTTCTTAAACTCAATTTATTTTAAAAAATTTAAGAATTAATAATTCAATGGTATCCAGCAATTAATAAAATAATTTTGCACAGCCGTCATCACACATAACTCAGCTGTACTGCACCAGACAGCACACAGCAGTTATTCGCAGAGATATAAATACGGCTCCCCCCTCCTCCTCTATTTCATCCCCCGTTCCGATCGATCGAATTCATTCATTCATCCATCGCCATGGATCCTTGTCCTTTTCTCCGAATCAACGTCGGGAATTTAGCGTTGAAGTTCCCGGCCCAGTCTAGGTCGCCGCCGGCCGATTCTTATTACTGCAAATTGAAGCTTTGCGGCGGCGGCGGGTTCCCCACTCAGCTCTCCACGGTGCCGGTGATCCAGGAATCCGACGAGGTGGTTGAGAGCAGGATCCACGCGTGCTACACCCTGAGAAAATCCGATCTCGAGAGGCTGAGAGGCAAGGGGAAGAAGAGCTGCGGTTTGAGGATCGATGTTTTTGCTGCGAGGAGCGCGATTGGGTGCGGGATTTTGAAGGGGGCGAAGCGACTGGGGAGCGCGGTTTTGACGCTGGATTTGAAGAGCTTGTCGACGGGAATCGGGAGCAGAAGTGTGCTGTTCCAGAACGGGTGGATCGCGATTGGGGGTTCTGCGCAACTACATGTTAATGTCGGGTCCGAACCCGACCCGAGATTCGTTTTTCAGTTCGACGGGGAGCCCGAATGCAGTCCTCAGGTCTTCCAGGTCAACGGGAATGTCAGGCAGCCCGTTTTCTCCTGCAAATTCAGTTTCAGGAGCGGCGGCGATTGGAATTTGAGATCCAGGTTAGTCTGAGCTCTTGAATTTTTTGATTGGGGGAATTTTGTACTGTATTCAATTCAATTAGGGTTTGGAAATTCGGGACGATTCATAATTATGGTTTGATTTTGATTCTGCAGACCTTCGCTCTCAGAGCCCAGCACCTCAACCAGCTGTTTCAGTGGATCGGCTGACAATGTGAAGCCGGCAAAGGAGCGAAAAGGGTGGTCAATCACCATCCACGACCTTTCCGGTTCTCCGGTGGCCGCCGCATCAATGGTGACGCCGTTCGTCCCGTCTCCGGGAAGTGACAGGGTGAGCAGGTCAAATCCGGGCGCCTGGCTGATCCTCCGCCCCGGACAGGGCACATGGAAGCCGTGGGGCCGCCTGGAAGCATGGCGGGAGTGCGGGGCCGGCGACCAGCTCGGTTTCCGGTTCGAGCTGATCCCCGACGGGATAACTGACACCGTCACTTTGGCGAACTCGACGATCAGCATGAAAACCGGCGGCAGCTTCAGCATCGACATCATGAACGGGCCGACCCCGATGACGAGCCCGAGCAGCAGCTTCGACTTCAGCTCCGGGTCCTGGTCCGGCCCCGGATCGGATATGGGATCGACTCACGGGTCCGGGTCATGGGCGCACCTGCTATACAGAGGGTTCGTGATGTCAGCGGGAGTGAGCGGCGAAGGGAAGTGCGGGAATACGGAGGTGGAGGTCGGGGTGCAGCACGTGAGCTGCACGGAGGATGCGGCGGCGTTCGTGGCGCTGGCGGCGGCGCTGGATTTGAGCATGGATGCTTGCCGCCCGTTTTCTCAGAAGCTCCGGAAAGAGCTGAGACAGTCGGGTCAAGAATGACAGTAATCGGGTCGTTCTTTATTTGGTTAAGTTTTAATTTTGTAGTACGTTTGTATATTGGCATTCATTCTTTTTTTCGCGTGTGGTGACCAATTTTTCTATTTGATTTTTGGATTGATTTTCATGGCCTCAATTTTTTCACACTTTAAATCAATCTATAGCAATTCACTTATTAGACTAGGAAACTAACATTGTGATTTATCTTTTATTCTTATACATATTTTTAAATAAAACAATTAAAAAACAAAAGCTTATAAGAAAAAAATAGTCCTTTTAATGTATGTGAAAAAGATGAGCAATGACGGAATTTTGTGTTGGACCCACAAAATCTGACGTGGAAAAAAGTAGGGAATAGTCCTTCATTTAGTGCTTCGTCAATTTATAAATTAATATAATATAACTTTGTATCCCGTAAATATTTAATATAAAAAATTTTGTGAGTAAGAGTATATTTCTTAGGGTTGAAAATAGAGATATGAATGTTGGAAGAAATTGAAAGAAATTGGAAAATATTGAAAACTACAGAAAATGAAAAAAAATGAAGAAATTGGAAAAAAACTGGAAGGATGACTTCAAAGAATTATTCAAACGTATTTTACATATCATTCTTATTATAAGTGTCATTGTTGTTGTTATTAAAATTATTATGATTATCATTATTATTATTATTATTATTATTATTATTATTATTATTATTATTATTATTATTATTATTACTATTATTATTATTATTATAACTATCATACTCCCACCGTCCCTAATTTGATTACAAATGGGGGTTTACGAGAAGAAATATTCCACTTTTTGAAATCATTTTATTTACAAATCGGTATATCGATAAGGAATAAAAATTATATATTGAAAAACTATGTCAAAAGTTTTACAAAACAGAGGTGACAATAATATTTTATTTTATCAAATACTTAATGAAATCACGTACACAAACAAAAGTTATCGCGATGAGAGAGAAAAAAATTGTAATTTAATTGGGGACGAAGGTTGTATATAATAGGTAAAGAATTGAAAGTAAATAAAATTCGACTACGTGAATATGTATATGCCATTTAATTAGGGACGGAAGGAGTAGTAGTATTATTATAACTTTTTAATTTAAAATGTTAATGTTTTTTCCAAATAGTTTAGTTAGAACATTGTTTAGTGTCATGTACATTAAAAATAATTTTTTTCAATAAAATTGTACCCCGTATTATTTAGATTAAAAATGAAAGAAAAAATAACAATGAATGTAAATCATAAAAAAAGTGACATGGAAAAAAGTAAAACTCTAAAAAAGACTCTAGAAGATGAGTAATATTTTGAGGGTTCTTTTGAGATGCCCTTACCCTTACATCATAGATAAGTGGAAAAAAAGTGGAAAGGAAATTGGGGAAGAGAAACACCAATAAAGGAGCTTCATCTTTTTTTTCTTTTTACGTTTTTATTTTTCCAGATTTTCTCTAACATTTTTTAATTTTGTCTTTATTTTCTACTCATTCAAATACCAATTATTTTCTTTCTATTTTTCTCTATTTGTTCTTTTTCTTTTCCTCTCTTTTTTTTTCTTTTCATTTTCTCCTCACATCCTAACAAAGCCTACAACTTTTTGATGTGATGTAAGATACTCCGATCCTCATATAATTACTCCGTAATATACCTTCCGAGTTTAAATAATTTTCTCTATAACTATTACGACTTACGAGGGATACGTTTTACTCTCACGTTCTAATTTAAATTTTCTATTTCGATTTTTAATATTTGACTAAAATTATTTTCAAATTATTTTATACGGAGTATGAAAAATAGTGTAGAACTAAAATATAAAAATTACATATTTAAAAAATACATAAAGAGTTTTACAAACTTAGTGATAACATGACTATATTATTTTATCGAATGACTAATGAAAATAAGAAAATAAAGTGAATAAAATCTGGCCCGTAAATAGGCTTTTTAATAATTATTTGATAAAATTAAATTTCTTGTCACATCTTGCTTTGTACTATAAGGTAGAACTTTTAATGTGGTTTTCAGATATCTAATTTATATATATGTTATTTCTATGCTAATTTAATTATTAATAAAATAATTAAAAAAAAAGATTCTAGATGTTCAAATAAGAAAGATTATTTGAAGATGGAGTGAATATGACTAAGAATGCATCCTGAGTCTATTTCTTGTTGTGGATGACATTTCATCAATAGATTGTTATTTAACTAATTGTGATATTTTTAGGAAGTAAATTTCATAATTGATTTTTTATAAAAGGTGTATCTATATTTAATCATTTATTATCAAATATTACGTCTGTGTTTCTTCTTTTATGGATACACTTCTATAGATAGTTTTTTTAAAAATATTCTATGATGTTGATGTTAATTTAAAAGCTAAAAGTATAATTTCACAATGATTATATATCTTTATTGTTATGCCCAATGCCAAAGCTCAATATTGATGTGTCGTTTGTCAACTAGATTCACTATCTACGACAACCGGCCATAATATTTAAATTAGTTTCACTATCTACGACAACCAGCCATAATATTTAAATATCGTCTCTAAAGGACTAAATATGAAAACTTTCTCTTAAAAAGATCCAATTATAAAATTTACTCTATTTTTACGCGTGCGAATCATGCAAAAATTTAATACTCCCTCCGTTTTGTTAAATATTTCCTGGTTGAAAAAAGACAGACTTTAAAAGTGTGCTTCCTCAATTCCAATTTTAATCGCCCGTTTTGGTTTAAAAAATTTGACTGATGTCATTTGTTAAAGAATTGAAGCGGAATTATAAAATAAAATTTACATATTTAAAAGCCATATCAAATGTTTTATAAAACAAGATGTTACATGACTATATTAATTTATCAAATTGTCAATGAAAATATAGAAAGAAAAAAAATAAAGTTTGACCTAGTAAATAATTTACAAATAATTTAATTTGAAGCGGAGGGAGTATAATTTTGGTATTATTTTCTATTTTCAAAATTTTCAATCCTACATCATATCTTACAATTTTGGACCTTAGAAATGTACACAATTTTGATGTACATTATCTGACTTTGATATTCTATAAATAAGATGAAATAAAGAATTAAGGAGTAATAAATAAATACTCAGTATGTGAAATATGTATAAAAGTCATTATGTTTCATAAATACTCGTATCTGCTGATATGCATGAGGGCAAACAATATCTTCCAATTTAGTTCAAAACTCAAATGCTATGAAGATCTTTTTCCAATTTTGATCGTTTATCAAGAAGACAATTAAATGGGCTTTGAAAAATCAAAAGACAACCATGAACTGATTGAATGCAGGAACTATTGTGCTAAAGGTATATACCGAGGTCCGAGTATATTACTTCTTCCATTTTCCTTTCCAACACTCGCTCTATTTTAGTTTCCGATTGAATTTATTTTCAATGTAGTTTATTTAAAAATTAGAGCATGATAAAAAAAATTTAAATTTATATACCAAAAGTTGTATAAAAACTCTACGAAACGAGATGTGACATGATTACATTTTTTATGCAATGAGTGATGAGAATAGAGAAAGAAAGTAAATAAAATTTAAGTATGTGAAATTGTGAATAATAAGTTTGCAACTTAATTTGGAACGAGAAAGTAGAATCTCTTTTTTTCTTTATTTAAATAGAAAGACAATTCACTTTAATTTATTACACTACCAAGGATAAAAATGAAAAGTCAAAACCTTTTTATCTTTAAAAAATGTATCAAGTCAAAATGGGGAAAAAATACATCAAATGAAAGAAACAGAGTACATTTTTGCATTTATTTTCCTTTTTTAAACAAAGTGATGTTCTAAAAAAAGCATATACTCATGGGTTGAACCTAAAAGATTTACAAGTAATTATCACGAATAGTAGGAATAAGTCCTGGGTTGAAATTGGAACAAGTTGATGGTTGACTAATGAGTGGTCAACGACATACTCCGTACATGACAGCATTGTCGTTTAAGGTTTGGAGCATCTACCCTAAAACAAATTCTAATGTCCCCAATATATATATATGCGTGACAGAACAATCGACTCCCAAGTCAAAGTCCTGATTATGTCTCATGTCAATTATAAAGGTATATTATTGAAAAGAAGGAAATGAAAGTAGAGTATATATTCCTTGTCCCTACCTTGCACATTAGCACAAGTAAATGCCAATAAGACTTTCAAGATGAGGCCACAAGTAAACGCCCATAAGGCTTGTAAACCAGCTTTAAAAGGACAGGAAAGTGTGATTATAACTACAGATGATTGCACTAAAGATTCACTCTTGAAGAACACCTGACTATATTTTGCATGCTAATTCGTGGTCGTACTCTTTAAGAAAATTACGAATGATCCAGGCTAAAGAACACTCTTTTAACTTGGGATGCTCACAAAACAAAAAGAACCCGAAAACACAAGCAAACTTGAGAACCAATAGAACGAGTTTACTGACCTTCTTTGAGAAACTCATTCTGCTGCCGCGTCATCAGCGTTAGTCCCTTCTGTCTGTATCTCAGGAAGAGTTTCTAGGTCCATTCTAATATCTTTCTCTTCCAAGGAAATGGATGTATCAGACTGATCAATCAAATCTTGCCCAATTTCATCCAGATTTTCAGTTCCAGAAATCTTGAGTTCAACATATGTGGCATTATCGGAGGCAGGTGTGATAGTTGAGACACTCGAGGAATTTACTGAGATTGAGTTCAAATTCTCAGTTTCTATGGAAGTTGTATTCGAATCAGATAGAGTTTTCTCAACAATCTGCACAGTGGCATTCACCTGCTGCATAAAAGTGACTGGCAAGGAGTCTTCCCCATCAGCAGTGATATTACCCTCAATGGTAGAATTTATATTTGATTCGGTCAAATTCGGAAAGGATACTCTGACTTCAAGATGGCTGTCGACTAGACTCGTTTGGTTCAAGAACGAAATATTTTTAGGATTGGATGAGACATGCTCCAGAATACTTTCATCCCGGCCTGTTGTAATTAAGGAACGATTTCTCTCATGATTATCCGAGGCTAACTGTGTGATGTTCTGATCAGATCTTATTACCTCGTGATCTGAATCCTCTAGGGCGATGTTTCCATTTTCCGCAAGTACAGTCTGTGTATCATGGGTGACGGCACTTGAAGCATCATCTCCTTTATAAAGTGCCTCATGTGTACTCATGTTGTTTTCCTCATCAAGCTCGTGATCATTGTTCTCTCCAGAACCTTTGATCTCAGTTCCATCAACCTCTCCTCCCTCCTTCTCATCATCAACTAGTTCATCTTCTTGTTCCTCAGATTTCTCTTGACCGTGTTCATCAACAGCATCATCTCCACCTCCCCTATCTTCATCATTTTCATCTTCAAACTTGTTGTCTTGATCTTGCTCCACTTCTTCACTCTTAGTGTCTTCATCGTCTTCTTGGCTGTCATTATCTTGCTTGGCATTAGTTATACTCATTTCATTTGAATGTGGAAGGAGAGTTTTCCTTCCCCACTTTGTAGGCTCATAGATGTTTCCTGCCTTCATCGAAAACCCAGGATCATTTTCATTGAATTCTTTCCCTTTATCATAGGAGCGTTTGACTTGATAAATCAGCCAGAAGCAAACAGCAAGCAATAGACAGATTTGCAGAACATGTTTAGTCTTGATCCCTTTTGATCTATGGCTCCTGCTAGAAGGTGAATGCTTGAACATGATGAGAGATGAGTATACTTCCGTGTCCGTCCTCCTTGTCTTACAAGCAAGATAGGAAGTATAAAGTGAGTCTAGAGACATGCATATCAATTGATTGAAAAAAATAATTTGGATTAAAAAACTGTCGGAAAAAGGAAAACAAATGCCAAGGAAAGATATTTTTCTCGTATTTAGGTTTACATCAGAAAATGTAAAGGAAAGTGAAACACTGAGAATGATTTATGTTTTGATTTTTTTTACATATGTTTAGATTTTTTAAGTTTTCACATAATAGAAATAAATAAATAAATGCGTAGTAAATATAAACAAGACGAGTTTGAACAAATACCACTATATCATAAATAAAATAAGTTACTTTAAAGTAATGTTTTATTTTCCCAACATTTTGATTCTTTCCCGATTATTTTCTGTATTCCACATTGAGCCCGAAAGGCATGAGAAAGTGAATACAAAATGCAGTTTACTTCGTTTTTCAAAGAGCTATGGCAAGCAGCAAGCAAGCATGTTTTCCTTTAATAACTAGAATGGATAAGTCAACTCAACATCCATCTTTTTAACTCAGCACATCCCAGAGAAGGTATGTAAAAAATCAATTACAAAAAACTTAAAACAAACTACTATCAATGAAAAGATACACTGTACAAAAGAAAATATTACGGAGTAATTAATATTATCACTCTCTTCTCAAACCCTAATCATTGTTTTGCCATGAAAGCAATTTTCTACAAGGTACCCTACTACCCTATGCTTCCAAATTCTGCTCTTAATTGTGATTAACATTCTCGTTTCAATGATGGTCATTTCTCTGATGTTTTTTTTGGTGAATGCTAATCGTCTTTGAAATATGTGTTATTTGTTTGTTCTCATTTTCTAATTTAATTGCTTCCAAAATCTTTGGTCATATACCATTTGGCTATATTGTGTGTCCTAAAATCATCCACACTAAACCAAGTGAATATTATTATTAACTACACAATTCCACATTCTCTTAACATGTGCACCACTTCTCGATGTCCCAAACTTATTGGGGTGGGGAGGTTATGTACCCATAGAAGGAAAACCGCAATTTGTTTGATATTTGCCAGAGTCAATAGTGTACAAACTACCTTTTTCTAACCCCCTGTTTGGATGATTTTTTAGGAGAAGAGAAAATAAAGATGGGAAATTCAGAAGAAAAAAATAAAAAACTCCTGTTTCGATATATTATGGCAGAAGGAAAACAAATTTACTCTACCTCCAAAATAATTGTAAATTATAACTTATTAGTTACTATTTACATTTTCTTCCCATTTTGAATGGAAAATTCAGGGAAAATTGAATATTTTCCTTCCTCTTCCAAACATGATACATATACATACCTCTATGTTTTTCACCCTACATTTTCTTTCCTCTCCTATTTTACTCCTTCCAAACAGGGAGTAAAGCTCCTCATCCAGCCACTCAAAATCAACCAAAATATACTCAATCAATAACACCAACATCCTAGCTGGAAACATTGTAAGAAGATAGAAGCACGTTTCAACTTTCTTTTTATGCCATTTTACTGGAAAAATTCACAGTTTTCATTCTAATTGCCGACAGGAACATGAATATCCATTCTCAGCTACCAAAGCCTCCATATCGTTCAGAAATTCGCTCTCACTCTCCTTTTTCTTTCCAATTCCTCGAAGAAAATAAAAATTTCTCTAGGAATTACTACCAACGAAAATCATTCGGTAAAAATCATGGCGATTCATCTATTTACTTTAATGCGTTGAAATGATTTCTCTGAAAACGCTTCAATAAATGCAATTCAGCTATATAACAAACCTTCAGATGCGAAATGCACGAAATTCAATAACATTACAAATAAAATTCAGTGTATCAAGATAGTAATACCTTTTGACGAGGGTTAGAAATCTTCAAATCAGTATAGTGTCTCCGGAAATGAGTAGAGTGACAGCAATGAATTGAAGAAGAAAATTACGGAAAACGCCGTGACTCAGGGAGTTATATGCGTCGTCGTCGTCGCCTTCTTCTTCTTCTTCGTCTTCTCTGCGACACAGTTTTTCTGGTTCGGATCTAGTCTAGATACGCAGAAGATCTTGCGTTTGATTGAACTGAGTGAATGGTTTGGACATCAACCCGACTCGACCATCCATTTTCAATAAATGGGCCAATCTTGTTAATTTCGTCTCCATAAAGGCCCAACATATTACGCTGGATCATATTTTTGCAAAAATAAGAAAACGGGCCAACAATATAATGTTACAAGATTGATTTCTTGAATTGAATGGCTGACACGGAAATAAAATTACTCCGTATTATTCTTGACAATACTAGACTCGTACCCGTGCGATGCACGAGCAGCAAAATAACTTAAATTTAATCATGGATTGGAATAAAAAAATGTTACAAAAATTTAAAAATTACAAATTTTATTAAAATTGTCCAAAATAAGGTATTGTACAGTAAGGACCGTAGTCGATATGAAGTGTTATAAGTTTTGGAACACTTCTTTATAAACTACATTCGTAGTTTTGTTTGTTGACGGAATGTCTTTATTGCAAATCAAGATCTTTAACCCCTCGCGACTTGTAACACGTGAAATCGCAACATAGGGCTGATCATAACTGAGAACCATGATATTTCACTTAAATAGCTAAAAATAAGAAAGAATAGAGTAGTAAAACAGAATGATGTTTAGAAGATAGGTAGTGTTCGGAATTTGTAATTTCATAACAAAAACTAATCTTGGTCATAATCATAATAGACATACAAATAGTTACATCCTTAGCATTGTTCCAAAAAGCATGTCAGATAGATTACATACGAAGAGCTTTTTAATTTCTTCCGACATTAGAGAATCATACAATACAAAAGTCACTACTACAAAAAAGACTTTTTAAATCGGTTATTTTGACCCTTTTAAATCGGTTTATAACCGATGCAAAAGCCAGCGATGCAAATGCTCAGATAACTTTTTGCATCGGTTGTTAAAACCGATGCAAAAGCTTCTACATTTGCATCGGTTATTACCAAATAACCGATGCAAAAGGTTAGGTGCGCAGACTTTTTTTATTAATAAAAGAAGCAATTGCATCAGTTATTAGGTAACAACCGATGCAATTACTATCAATTGCATCGGTGGTTAACAATGAACTGATGCAACTGCTCCATTATTAAAAAAATCTGCATTACGTCGGAACAAATATGCAGCAGCAAGAGGAAAAAGCATTTCTCTAATTCAAAGTAGATTGAAAGTAGCTAGATNTTGAAAAAGAATAACAATAATATAGAGTTACAGAGAGCGTCGCATTGTAGGGCTCCACCACCGTGTCGGACACCTTTGGCGACGGAAAAACGGAGAAAGTTAACATCATCCGGTCAGGGTACTCCTCCCTTATCTTCGATATCAACAGCGTCCCCATGCCAGACCCGGTTCCACCACCCAGCGAATGACACACTTGAACCCCTAGAAACACAAACCAAAAAAATTAAACCATCAATTCCGCTGCAATCGCTTCCAGGCACATCAGATCTAGGAACTCTTAAGCAAAAATACTCCATCAAACACAAACAAAAACGAGTTTATGTATATTCGCGCACCTTGGAGGCAATCGGAGTTCTCGGCCTCCTTGCGGACGACGTCCAGGACAGAGTTGATGAGTTCAGCGCCCTCGGTGTAGTGTCCCTTGGCCCAATTGTTTCCAGCGCCGGACGACTTGCCGAACACAAAGTTGTCATGGCGGAAGGATCTGGTCGTAGGGGCTGGATCTGACGGAATCCATGGTGCCAGGCTCTAGATCCATGACGACGTCGCGATGGACATTGAGGCGCTCAAGCTGCAGATCGTTGTAGTAGACATTGAGGGGCTCAAGCTGTAGATCGGAATCGTCCTGGTAGCGCGGCCGGTGGAGTCGAATACTTAGATTTGTGGCTTAAGTTGAATATAAATGCGTAAAGAGTACGCAGAGGCAAGTGGTGGCTTTTTTTGCATCGGTTAATACGTAGAACCGATGCAACAGACTCTTGTACCTTTTTTAAAATATTTGGGTTAAAGCTTTTGCATCAGTTTTTAGAAAATAACCGATGTAATTGGTTATTTGCATCGGTTATTATAATAACCAATTCAAATAACAACCGGTTGGCGAAATTATTTACCATTAGAATCGTTTTTTGCGACTCCGATGCAAATGAGGCGATTTTTTTGCCCGATTTTGTACTAGTGAGTGGCAACATTAAATATCTTACGAAAATATTGATAATCTTAATCAAGGACATAAAGATCATTGAAATACTTTTTGTTTGGAATTTTAACTCGTTTAGATCGTCGTAGTAAAGGTGGTGTGGGTATAAGTGGTGCCAGAATCACACAATGATCGCAAACGAAAAATAATCCTCATCCCACGTCACGAATTTGTAAGCATGTAAGATGACCACATACGACAAAACATTTCCAATAATCTTCCATAAAATCTGAGTCTTGAATAGTCTTGCACTTGTAACATGGGGTCAACCAACTGCCAATTCCTGTTTTAATTATGCAACACATAAACTAACTTAAATATAAATTTTATTTGTAAAAGCAATTTAAAATCCAAATCCTTTAATTGGTTTAGAAAGGCTGTTTTAGTAATAACAAATTTTATTTTCTATAAAAACCATGGACCATTATTTTTTAAATTTTTTGTGTTCTTCCAAATTTAAAAACCTACACCCAAGGATAGAGAAGCCCAATTTACTCATTTCAATTAAAACCAAACCTACGCAGCCCAATAACTATTAAAATATCTATCTCTACCCTAACGGTTGGCCACACAAACACGCCGCTCTCAGTTCGAAGTCTCTGGATCTTCCGTTTTTGTCTCTTTGAGAACGCCTACGATGGAAGTAAGGAGAGAGAGAGAGACAGACTGTGGGAGGAAGTGAGACACACATTCAGAGAGAAAGAGTACTTCCAGATGTTAGATGGAGAGAGAGAATGATAGAGTCGTGAGAGAGAGACAGAGAGAGAGGGCTCCGAGAGATAGGGGATGTCATCGCCGAGTTGTCATCGTGGTCTTCACCGGTATCTTTATTTCATTGTTCATTAATATCAATTTTTTCCTCAGTTGATACTCCCATTCATTAAGGTTTGAATTTTTGTTAGATCTGTTTATTTCTAAATGATTTCTAAATTTGAAAGCCTTTTTTTAAAACTTTAAAACCCTTGAATATTTTAGATCTGTTTAAAACAACCATGCATGTGTATTTTTGTAAATGATTAATAATAAGTTTTTGCTTTATAAGTTTAAATCATCTTTTAAAATTACGGTAAATCATGAAGAGAATATGAATTTTCTCCTTCATGCCTTGTTCTAAAGGCATGTTCATTCGTAAAAATATTTATTTATTTGATCATAATAAGATTAATTTCTAAATACTGGTACGTTAAATTTCGAGCCTAAATTTTGATGTTTTATTGAAGGAAAAATTCTAATTCTCATTTACTACTTGTAAATGCTTATAATGTCTTGTTTAATTCATAAATTACATTAATTTCTTAACATCATATTTACATTGATTTCGATAGGCAGTTTTGTTGTAATTCCAGCATCAAGGTTTATATTTCCTTGTTTTCAAAAATTTATTCGTGACATGTTGCATTTAAAAGTCATGATTTTACATCTATTGTTCTCACCAAATAAATGGGAGTGTAGATTAAAATAATGATGTATGTATGTATGTATGTATGTATGTATGTATGTATGTATGTATGCATGTATGTATGCATGTATGTATGCATGTATGTATGTATGTATGTATGCATGTATGCATGTATGTATGCATGCATGCATGCATGCATGCATGCATGTATGTGTGTATATGTATGTATGTATGTATGGGTGTCCCAAGCTGACAGAGCTACTTTTCAAAGAAAATTGTGCAACTAATCTGTGTATTATCAAAGTTGAGAAGATGTGGTAGGGGAACTTAGAATTGCATCATGAGATCAAACAGAAATTTGAGGGATATTGTAAATTCAGGTTAAGCCTTTTAATATCATTTTAACATGACTAGCATAACATCATTTTTTTTGTTTCTTCATGAATAGGAACCAACCTTGTTGCCTTGTATGACAGATAATACTTGATGAAAAGGTTAGGAGTCTGCACAGGGTGTAAATTCAGGGAAAAATTATAAAACAGGGAAAAATGTACTCCCTCTGTCCCAAATTATTTGCCACATTTGTATTCACGAGGCAAAATATCAAGTTTTTTCAATTCATTTTATTTACATATTGGTAAAGAAATAAAAAATAAAATTTACATATAAAAAAACTACATGAAAAGTTTTTCGAAATAAGAGGTGTCAAGAATATTTTATTTTATCAAATAATCAATAAAAACATCGAAATAAACAAAAGTTTCCGACACTGCTGAAAAAGCAAATGTTGTAAATATTTAGGGACGGAGGGAGTAAGAAATTAGAAATAAGAAAGAGTTTGAAAAACTTGAAAGAATTAGAAAGGAATTGGAAAAAATAGAAAGGAATTGGAAGAAAATGGAAAAATTTAGAAAAACTTGAAAAAAAAATAAAGAGTTTTAGAATATTTATTTTATTTTAGACATTTCATATTTTTAGAAAAAATACTCTACTTTTTCAATTTTTTATGTCTTTTTATTTTCTTCAATGCCATTATATTCAATCCCAACTCGTATTCATAATTTTTGTATGACTCACACTCTTTCTTTATATTTTTTAAATCAATATTAATCATATAATTTTTTTATTTTTAATTGTATGTTACTAATTCATATATTTAAAATAAAAGGATAAATGAAGTAATAATTTTATTAATCTTAATTGAAACATAAATGAACCAACTCATTCATACAAAAACTTTTGTATTCATACAAAAATATTTAAACAATTATTTTATTTTACTTTTTAAACTATTTTATTTTTTTCACAAAAAAATATATTTTATTTCATAATAGTGAAATGAATTTTTTTATGCAAAAGAAGTAGTATTCAGTATTTACTTATACCTAATATACATCTGACATCTAATATATGCACATTCAAAAATGAAATAATATTAATCTTACACAATTATTTCATCACATATTATACTGATGTGTGGACATCTTTTTTTGTATATGCTCAAAGAATGCACATTATAAAAAATTATAAAAAATAGTGTATCCAAATTTTACTATTCACAGAATCAAACTTTAATCACATATTTTACTAATTTTTATTATTTATTTGATAAAATAATATAATCTTGTCAATCTTATTTTGTAAATATTTTAATGTAATGTTTAAATATATAAATTTTATTTTTTAGTTCTATCTTTATTTTCAAAGAAATTAAATAAAAATTATCACAGCCAAATCTTATGAACAACATGCAATTTAAATTGACAAATAAAGAGTAGCGAGTACATTAAAATATTGTTCTGAAAAAGTAGACAGAAAATAAAATTAGAGCTAAAATAGATTCAAATCAAGCCACAGTATCGTAAAATAAGTTATAACAATTGTAGAAAAAAATAAAAAAAATACTCCGTCCTTCCCTAAATTGATTACAAAATTTTGTTCTCTCCTCTCGATAACTTTTGTTTGTTTACGCGATTTTATTAAGTATTTGATAAAATAAAATATTTTTGTCACGACTTATTTTGTAGAACTTTTGACGTAGTTTTTTAATATGTAATTTTTATATCTTATTGATATATCAATTTGCAAATAAAATCAAATTGGGGACTAAGGGTAAAATATAAAATAATAGATCGTGGATTTTCGGGTCTAAACCAGGTCAGATCCGGATTCGAGTCTATTGGATTTAGGGTCTTTTCCTATTTAAGATAGGGTTCCCCTCCCTCCTGGCTTCCATTCCCCCAATTCCTCGCCGCGCCCATCCCGCTCGTCAGCCGCCGACGAAAAGTCAGTGTCCATCTCTCTCTCTCCCTCGCCTTCCTTCCTCCCCGCCCGTCACTGTAGCCTTCTGTTTTTGAATTTTCGTTGCTAATATGTATCTCAGTATGAAAGATTGGCTAACCAGATCTTGTTATTGAATCCGACGGTTTCAGCTTTCCCTCCTCGGCCTCCTCCCGTCAGCCTTGGTTCCTTCGCCGCCGATGAGCAAAACCCTAGTAATTGGCGTAGTTAGAGAAATTGGCATTTGGCTTCCTCTCCAGTCAGACTTCCGAACACTGGCGTAATTGGCAAAGTCAATGTGAAGAAGAGAAACCTCAGCAATGGGCAAATCCCTAACCTTGTCCTACTTTTCATTCACATCCAACTTCCTCTTCTTCACATTCCAATTTCCGTGGCGAGAGGGTGACAGAAGATCAATTCTTAGGTTAGAATTCACACTCTTTCTTCATTTCATTTTTTTATCATCATACCTTTTCTCTCTCTTTTTAATGTCTAAATTATTACACTTATTAACTGTTGTATAGAAGACTTTTGTGTGTGGTGTGATGATATTGAGTATATTTTGTAAGGGAGTGGATCAATTTTAGGGTTTGCATCATTTGTTTTGAGAAGCGGGTAATTTCTTCCTTTTTGTTGTTTTATTACTTGCAAGTGCCAATCAGCTGCATTCTTTTTTTACTTCAATCATAATTTGATTTTCCAATAAATATGTATAAAAATTTGATTTTGATGGAGGCTAATGGAGGGTTGAGAATTGTTGTTTAATCCCTTATGGATGTTTAACAATGAAGTTTGGTCTTAAAAAGTGATTACTCAATGCTCACGTGCTGTTCAATTACATCTATTTTCATCTATATCTGCTGTGGATTTTACTTTTTTTTATTTGTACTACCATGGATTGAGTCATAAATTTGTTGCATGTTTTTTGAATGTGTTCTTCAATTGCTCTCACCTTTTTTCAGTAATACGACATTGCTAATGACTTTGTGCATTTTCTTTATTTTCCTTTCAAAAGTTTCTACTGATTTTGCATTTTCTAGTCCGCTTTCAGCCTTTCACTAGTGTTAGAACTTTTGGAGTTTTGGTTTTTTCCTAAACTTGAGAGCCGTTTATTACTCTACCTGTATTGAGAGCCGTTTATTACTCTACCTGTATTGAGAGCCGTTTATTACTCTACCTGTATTATTATTATTATTATTATTATTATTATTATTATGTATGTGTGTATGTGTGTATGTGTGTGTGTGTGTATGTATGTATGTATGTATGTGTGTATGTGTGTGTGTATGTGTGTGTGTGTATGTGTGTGTGTATGTATGTATGTATGTATGTATGTATGTATGTATGTATGTATGTATGTATGTATGTATGTATGTATGTATGTATGTATGTATGTATGTATGTATGTATGTATGTATGTATGTATGTATGTATGTATGTATGTATGTATGTATGTATGTATGTATGTATGTATGTATGTATGTATGTATGTATGTATGTATGAACCAACAAAAAGTAGATGGAATGTTAAGATATTTTACTATTTCTGTGAAAATATCAACTTGTGGGGTGCAATTGACGGGGGTAGGGGGGTGTGTTCGGGTCGGGGCGGGGTGAGGGGGTTTACCGGGGGGTTAGGGGGGGTAGGAAGCGTCAATTTTACGAACGGGGCACCGGAGCGCCCCCGACTCATCCCATGACATTGGAACCCAATGTCATGGGAACCTTGGTGACGTAAAGTATTACTCCTCATATTGCTCATCGAAAAAGTTGATCTATATACTCCCTCTGTCCCGGAAAGAATTTCCTGCTTTGATTAACGTGCAAAATCCCGTGGATTTTAAAATGATTTTGTTTGAAAATTGGTAAGAAAATGACACATAAAAAAATTATATTTAAAAAATACATTGAAAACTCTATGAAATAAGAAGTGATAAGAATATTTTATTTTATTAAATGATCAATGAAAACATGCAAACAAATTGGAGTTATCGAGAGGCCGTAATAGTAAACAGAAAAGACTTTTCGAGACGAAGGAGTATAATATTTTAAAATGAAGATAATTTTTGTTAAATTTACATTCTAATTAAATGTATTTTTTTCACAATTTGTGATAATAAAAAAAAGCTACACACTTTGATTAAGAGCACTGGTAATGGTTATGAAGCCCCGGGGCTTCAAACTTTCTCTCTCTGCCACATCAGCTTTAACTTACACCCAAAATTCACTGGAAATGGAGACATACCCTGGAGATGCACGACTATAGCATATTAAAAGAGACGTCAGCACGATTACTTAACTAATTAAAAAATATACATCATCAAAATATAGATCAAAACTTAACTTTTGAAAAACCGATAATTTACAGATCATATGCTCGACATTGAGAGACTAAGATATCGTTTGACATCAGCGTTGGAGATTAACATTAACGTTTTAAAAAATCTATCCGATGATATTTTTTAGCGTTAGCATTTTTAAAATTATTCTATACTAATAAAATTGTATCTAACGCTAATCGAAAACACGATACCCAAACAAGACAAAGGTAATAAAATAATGTAATCGCCAATCATAAGTTAATAACTATAACTTCGTGTTATTTTCGTCAACCATATCTAAATAGAATAGTCAAATAAACTCTTATTTTGTAAAATTTTAAATATATTTTTAAAGTATATATACGTATCCTTTTTATACTAATATTTAAATAAATTTAATTTAAAAAAACTTTAAACAAACTGTCTTAACCACAATATTTTCTTGATGGAATGATGAGAGTAACCTCATATAGGAAATTGTTTTCATTTATCATTACCTTATTTAAATTACTTCGTATCCTTCTAAATAATACACCGTATAAATTAATTTTGAGAAAACTAAAGTCAACCATTATCGTTAAATAAACTTTACAAAATGTTAAAACTATTGTCAAACAAGCAAATTATTTAATCAATCCTAGTAATTGTGTAAACTAAATGAACCAGGCTAATTACTTCTTATTGCGTTCGGGATAGCAAGCATGAGTAGATGAAATTAATCATCCAAACTCCAAAGCCGGTAGGTGAAAGCACATGTAATCTACTAAGGGCCTGTTTGGGAATAGCGTTAGAGATTAGCGTTAGCGTTTTGAAAAGGTTATCTACGTGCAGCATTTAGCGTTAGCGTTTTCAAAATTTTGTAAAAATTTTATCCAAAACGCTAACGCTATCCCCAAACATGCCCTAATTGTTATTAGTCTAAATGTATGTGATTAAGCGCGGATAGAATACAACAATAGTGTAGCGCCCTCCTAAAACATAAAAATCCATCACCGCGTGAGAATGTACGGTTTAATAATGACAATACTTGTAATGTAATATCAAGATTATTGGCATCACTTATAAGTGAAGTACTAAGGAAGAAATAAAACACGACCGCGCGAGAAATGAACTTCAAGGTGCATTATTCATTTCTGAAAGGTAGGTATATCATGGGCTATAAAATACCTTTAAGAATGTTTTTCATCTTTTCATTTGCAGCCACTAGCTCTGCAGCTATTCCTGGTTCATTTGCAGAATGTCCTGCATCTCCAACAACCTTGAGTTCTGCCTCGGGCCAAGCTTTATGAAGATCCCAAGCCGACATCATGGGACAGCAAATATCATATCTACCCTGCAACGTAAACACGTCCACGGCCACTTAAGATTTTTTTATATTAAAAGAACAAACAAACACAGTAAAATTCCACAAAAATAGTAGCGTCTAGGGAGGGCCACCTGAACAATTATAGCTTTGATGTGCTCTATCTTTTCAAGATTGTCAAGCAGGAAAGAATCTGAAGGGAAGAATCCCTTATTGATGAAATAGTGGTTCTCAATCCTTGCAAATGCCTATAAAGATCATCATAAGCATGATAGTTTTACATATATCAATACTCCGTATTTTATATTATATACCGGAGGGATTCCAAATTAACTGCGTACCAATGAAAACTTGTCGTCATCTCCTCTCTTTATGCTTTCTTCATTGGGGAGAAGATGAACAGTCATCGTTTCCCATTTGGTCCATGCCCTAGCTGCTGCATACTGAAAAACATAGAACTCCATAAAATCAAGAAACGGGTGAAATGTACATCAAAAAATTACTATATAGAGCTTTGTAAAAGTTAATCATGCACACAGAAAGACCATGTGGAATATTGAGTTCTGTGGATATAATAGGTCTGCAAAGATTGATTTGAAACTGAATATTAACCTTACTTGTGTTTCAAGATCATCTGAATTCAACCTCTTGTGATATGCTTCAACAAAGCAACCCCTCTCATTTTCTGGAATCAAATCTCTGAACGGTTCCCATGCTGCAGCAAAAAACTATTTCATAACTACAAATGCTTTAAGACTGAGGTCACTATATTTTGATATGCTGTTACAAAACCTTACCATCAGGGAATATTGCAGCAGCACCACCCTCATAAAACCAATCGATTTCTTTCTTCCTCAGTAAAAATATCCCTCTGAGGACCAAGCCAGTAACCTAAAATAAAGGGCGAAAGGCATGTTAAGTTTTGGGTACATTCATTTACCTTCTAACACTTCAATGTATAACGATATGGATTTTCATCCATCAAAGTTTAGACCAAGTTTATATCAGAAATGTCTGAGCATGATAGTAATAATCGACCTTGTCAGGATGGGATTGGCTATATGCAAGAGCAAGTGTGCTCCCCCATGATCCACCAAACACCTAGAAAGATTGTAAAGTCGTAAAGAGTTGCAAAGAAAGCGCTCATTAGACCAGATCTATGCTTTTCAAATGATTATTTCAACCTGCCATTCTGCAATTTCCAAGTGTTCTCTTAATTTTTCAATATCCTCAATTAGGTCCCATGTGGTATTATCCACCAAGCAAGCATGGGGTGTACTTTTACCTGCACCTCTCTGGAAGAAGACGGTTATATCCATTCATGATACTTAAAGAGAGATAGAAAAGAAAAAGATATCACATTCATGTTGCTCACCTGATCAAATAGAATGATCCGGTAAAAGTCGGGATCAAAGAATTGACGGTTACTTGGTGAAGTTCCACCACCTGGACCCCCATGAAGAAAAACCACGGGCTGCAAAGTAAAAAATAAGATCTTTAGATTAACAACAAAAAGAAAAGAGTGAAAAACGATGATCTTCAGAAAATTTCCATTCACATTGGCCGGTATATAGTTTCAACTGCAAAAACCCTTGCTGGACAAGTGGTAAAGCCTTATTTCATTAGGATATTGCATAAGCGGTTGCATATAGCTACATAAACTCAAAGAAACACAGAGAACTTCCCATGCTAAATTGGCCTATGCTAGACTTTGAATATATCATTTTTGCAGATCCACACGACAGTATAATTGATGAAATAGAAACGGGAAGAAGAATAGCAAGAAAGCTCACATGGCCGCTGGGATTCCCGGACTGCTCCCAATAAATGGTGTGAGGATCAGAAACTTTCAAGAAACCCGAGCTGTAGGGCTCTATGGGAGGGTAAAGATTCCTAATTAATTCGGCACCTTCTTTCTTCAACTCCATTAGCCTCTCCACCACCAGTTCCTCACTGCCCAAATCCTGATTCCCGGCGCGCAGCACTAAATTCCGCCTTCCTGCAAACTTACAAGAGAACCACTTGATTGTCTCAGCCAATACATACGATTAGTAATCATCTGGGCACATAAAAATCTTGACTTTAGCTTTGGGGTAGCATAATTTTACTAACAATTTCGATTTTTGGGCCTGATCGGCGATCAACTACGAGAGTGAAAAGGAAGAATGAGGGTGAAATTGATAAAGAGAGAGCGAGAGAGAGAGAGACCTGCGCGTGTGAGGGGGTTTCTTTGATGCAGCGAGACCTCTGTGGGCCGCCAATGGAATTGGGCAATTGGCGAAGGATGATCTTAGAGTAAAGCACTAGCTGAGCTCCTCCTTCAATAGTCATTTGTGGTTCGGTTTATCCGCCCGTTTTACGCCTGGCGGGTAGCCAACCCGAGAGTAGTAGGACCTTGGAAGAACAGTCCCCACTCCCTAAATCCCATTTGACATTTGATTCCATTGTAGAATAATTTTCTGTTCAAATATTAGCATATTATCGATTATTGAAAAAAATAATTAGTTTCACTCTAACAAAAACACTTAAATTTGGTTTTATTTATAAAAACATTTTCAAAAAAATACATTTAAAGTTAGATATTAAAAAACAAAATAAAAAGAGAATTTACCTAAAATAATCTCACCTTTCATTTATTTGCAAAAAACAAACATTTTCCAAAAATTTTGTTAAGTGGTCATCAACTTTTTAACAGTGATCCAAAACTCGCATGTATGCAAAAATGTGAGATTATTTCTAGTGACAGTGAAAAGTGATATTATTTTTTAAACAGCGCGAAAAAGTGAGATTTTATAATATTATTTTTTTCTATAATTAAAGACATAATTATGAGTGCTTGAAAAATAAGAACATCTCCATTTTACATATAAATCTTAGAACCAGAATAACACAATTCCACTTATAATGCAATGCACGTCACTTTATGATTTGGGGTCAGTAGATAAGGACTAAAAACAAACCAAAAAAACATTAAGTTGAAAAATAAAAACATAAAATAATAAAGAAATTATAGTGAATTTTAAGTACAATAACCAATTTACACATTTTGAAATAGTATGAAGATCTCTACGAAAACAACAAACTAAGCCTATACAGGAAAATATTCAAACAAACTAAAATAAGCTTATGTTTCCAACTGGAATTGAATAATTTCTAGAACTAAACTAACATATTATCAGCATCTCCAGAACAGATTTCCTCACTAATTTCTATGTAAAAAAATGTCAACTACAAGGCTACGAAACTTCATCATCATCATCCTCGCCATCATTATAAACAAAGTATCGAACTATCGATTGTTCGAAATTTGAACCAAAATAAATTGGAACAAAAAAAATGAAGAACGCGATGCGGTGTTATAACAACGTCACCTAACAAAAGAACCCAATCCCCTGCAGACTGTACAGTTATATATTATTTCTTTCTTCTTCTTCCTGCAACCAGCAGCTATGGCTCAACACAAGTATCTACTACTTTCGTTGTCTTTTCTTCGAGGGGCTTTGTGTTAGACTTATCCAATGTAGGGACAGAATGCCCGATTGCTTCGTTAAATCTGTCCACACTTTGAAGAAAGATCCCTAGAACAGATCAACAACTTCAAATTAGCTCAATCGTCCGTCTAATGTTAAAAAGTAATGATCTTTTGACATCGAGGATGAGTGTCATAAAATGGGTATTGAGCCATTTTAGGGTCCTATAGTGTCCAGTTCGACGCAGTAATGGTTCCTATCCCCCTCCCTGACCCCCTAGGTTTGCTATTATGCTACACTAGCTATTGTAGCGTAACGGCAAACCTTGGGGGATGGGAGCGGGCTATGGGGGAAGAAACCACTTTAGGGCCCTCATATGGCGCGAGTTCTAGTGTGATATTATGACACACAAGAGTTGTGTCAAAAGAGGCCGACTTGGTGTTAAGATAGACATATATATATAAACAAAATCCCTGACCTATAAACCATACGAAGGATGCAACGAACAAAACGGATGTCAAACTCAACGCGGTAATCCTCCAATTGTTTACATGGTCCTGCAGAAAAGTGTTGAGAGTATTAAAAAAATTAGTCGTTATTCATCAACACAATGTTTGGTTCAAGGAATTTGAGAGGGACAAAAAAAATGAGAAGGAAAATGTTTTTTTTATTGTTTGGTTAGAAAGGAAAAGAAAAGAAAAGTCAAAGGAAAAGACAATAAAAAGGCAAAATGTACAAAGAGGAGGGAAAATAAAATTTCTCCCATTTTAATGAGGAAAATGAGGGAAAAATTATTTTCTTTTCCTTTCAAATTCCTTGAACCAAACATCGTGTGTGTAATAGACAGGAAAAGTATGCATATCTGGTGACATAATTCAAACCTGGAGTACCCCAACAAGAGGAGAAGAAGGAACATCTCCGAAAATGTGAATGGAGACCGTGGACATGGCCATGGATAATGGTCTCAAACTGGGTTTCACACTATGTAAGCAAACAAAATTTACGGGACCCTGACATGGAAAATAAATTTCACACAAAAAATATATCATGTATTTTTTTAAAAAAAATGCAGGAACATTCCCTAGCAATGTGACGGGTTTTGGAGGAACAAAAATTATATGTAATACCTGAGTGGAAAACACGAGCAGCTCTCCAATGGCAAAGAAAGCTATAAAAGCGTATAAGCTTTTGAAGAAAAAGGCGGCAAAGCAAAATATGGCCCCAAAGAACGTGGCTGCGGATAGAAACTGCAACAAATTTCACAGTGATTGACTCTTCATTGTGAGCACAAGTGTTGGAACTTTTTAGCATTTATAGAAATGTTTCCAAAATAAATTCAGTTACCGAAAAACAGGGAAAAAGAATAGGAGAAAGCAGTGTTTTTACCTTAAAGGCATTGGACAAGGTAGAAGTCATACGGTCCAAAACAAATCCGCCTGCAAGTGTTCCCAATATTCCACATATAGCTGTTAAACCGCCAAACACCATATCTGGATTCCTCTGCAGATGTGTCGAATGAGTAACAAATCTCTTTCTTTCTTATTTACTTCATTTTTTTACTGCAGACAGCCGTAAAAATCCTGAAACTTACCATATGGTAGATGCTGTAACCAGCCTTAGGTCCCCAGTAGGAATATGCGCCGATTACGAAATTATACGCTATATATCCTGCAAAATGTTTGCATGTTAAATTGCGTTGAAATCTTTAGCATGGCTATATATTTGTTGGGTCATTTGTACAATTACACAAATTTAGTGAGAATAATCATGTTTGGACCCTTGGTGGTTTCTGACTAAATCGGAGGCAAGGCAAAGGCTAAGAACATACCTAAGACGTTCACAAGAAAAATCTTTTCTGACAAAAGAGCTTTCATGTCTTTGAAAAATCCGACAAACTGATCTGAACTAACACAGTTGTTGCGCCTTGGCCTGTGACAGGAATTTTTAAAAAAAAACAATGGCCTCAAATACAATAACATTTGTCAAGTAATAAACAAATACGAGCTAAGGTTGGGGAAATAACTTACCTAGACACTTCAGAAGTGTCTTGGAACTCTCTTTTGGTCAACGAATCATCTTTGGCATTGGTAGTAACTGCATATGTTACAAGTTCTGAATCAAATTATGGATCTAATCCGGACAAAAAATAGGGAACGAAGTGCTTTGAAAACTTTTCTTTACTAACATGAGAGCTTTACCATATGGTATGCTACATTTAGCACAAAAGACAATTCCACATTACCATTTTCTCCGCAACCAGAAGCAGCTTCGGAAATCAACTCTTTTTTTAATTCAGTGGAAGAGAACCCTGTGTTGAACATTCTTATTTCAGAAATAATAACTTCGAAACACAAAAAGTATCTGAATAAAAGAGTGGGAAAGTGTACCTCTCAGTTGCAATGGTTTCATCACAAAACCAAAAATAGCAAAAGGGAGCATCAAAACGGCTTCAATCCAGAAAGCCCAATGCCAACTTAGATGGCTCGCAACCTACAAAAACAAGAGCAACGAGAGTATGAACTACGTGAAAGAAGGATTTACCAAAACAGCCTTTAATGTATACAAAAACGAAGAAAATACATACCAATCCACCATATACATAGCCAAGTGCAATTCCAGTTGGTATACACATGTAAAATATGCCAAGCCATGCTGTTCTCTGATAAAAGTAGAAATTAAAAAGCAGTCAATAGTTGTATACTTTTCAAGTTTATAAAGGTTTTGAATAAAAAATGTTCGTATGAAATTCTTTGCCGTAATTTCTTTCTCGAAACCTCTCCTTTATTTTCCAATACATGCGCACTGATGGATTGTAAGCGAACTGATTTAAAAGTAATTAATACGTAAATATAAAAATGACAGCATCAGCATTGCAAATCAAGTTATCAGAAATAGTTATATAAATCCATTAAGATTTCCTTTAAAAATTTGAATGCAAGGCCATAACTAAAAGTCTTTTGAGGTAGCCAAATGCTTCATCTTCAAGAAAGTGAAGGGCAGAAGCAAAAGAGACCCCGAACCAACCTGAGAAGGAGGTGCATTATCATCAATAAATGGAGCAGCAAGACTGATGAATGAAGCTTCACCTACGCCAACAAACCTGAAACAGAAAGTGAGTTAAAAAAATTTAAAAAAGAAAAACTCATTTCAAATATGCTCCAACAAGTAGGCCAAACAAAACTTCCTAACTCACATGCGGCAAATCATAACGGTCCAAAAATTAAGTGATAATCCACATCCCACAATTGCAAGGGTCCATACTGACAATCCTACTCCAATAAGCCTGAATGCATTGACTCTGCAAAACAAACAAACAAGCAAAAAAGCTTAAACATAGAAGGGATCCAGGTATACAAAAATATGAATCAAGGGCAAAGAATTCACATAAAATATCACTCCAAAAATCATATCATATATCTGAGAGTTAGACCAATCACCTTTTGGCAAGGGATGCAAATATTGGCGATGCCACAAGGAGCCCGACCATAAAAGCAGACGACACAACACCATCTTCAAAGTTTGTCAAGTTAAAGTCTCCCCTGTTTCCATTAATACAAAAACTAATTATACCTAGCTGCCGAAAAATATACTAAAAATGCTAAAGATCACAACTTTATCAATGCAATCTTACTGAATTCCAGTGCCAGATGAACATGATCCATTTTTAGTACAAATTCTGGGACTCCCATTGACTCCATTGCTCGCTATGGCTCCACGGTCCAAATAATTTATTAAATTGATCACACAGAATACAAACAGCAACCTGAGTCATTAATAACACACCCATCAAAAATCAAAATTATCATTTCATTAATAACAATAAAACAACAATAGTGCACTCTCACCTTGAGAGTTCAAAATCATTATGTTAATAAGGTTAGTAACAGAAATCAACTGTTCCTATTTAATTCAAAATAACCCCATACTCATCCTCAGAATTTGGGAAAGCAGCTTCAGAAATACACTGAATTTGCAGTAACTGGAAGAGCAGAATAAGCCAAACAAAAGAGAAACCAAAACCAGAACGAAAAAAATAATATCCCAACCCAGAAATACATTGCAAAAACTCTACCACACAACTATTTATAGAAAAACTGCAAATCCCAAATTTTTGAAATTACAAAAAACAAATCTTTTGAGAATTGAGAAGGAAAAAGTGGGTTTTATTCCAAATCAAGAACATTGTCATCATGTTTCGGTGGATGTGTGGAAGAAAACGTTCTGTACCTTTTAGGAGTGAACCAGGAAGGGAAATGATGAAGATTGGGTGCTTCTGCAGAAACAGGATCGGAACTGGATTTGGACGAAGTTGTGGGTTCTTCAATGGGTTTCGCATCTTGCCCGCCCATTGCAAAAGCTTCAACTTTCTGCTTTTTGACTCGCTTTGATGGAGATAATGGTGGTGCTCGATGGGATATATATGGAGATGGTGGTTTTCTCTTTAAGGCCTTTGCTTCGATCTTTTAAACTACAAATATTCGGTCTTTTGAACTATAAATATTCGATCTTTTGAACTATAAATATAAAAATTAGATGTCAAAAAAATTTATGTATAAAAATTCGATTTTTTTTCTTGATTTGCATAGAGGAGTTTGAGTCCGCCAGCAACTCCGCAACCAAACCCAGCAAAAATTACTGGATTCTCTGTGCACATTCTCATTTCACTCGGATTCTTCCTCATCTATGTATGCATTTTTAGCATATTTATAGAACACTCTTTATGTACTTCTTCTTTAAAAAAAGGAATATGTACTCAAAGGGCCTTTTTCAGACCGAAGGAGACGGTAATTGAGAGGTAGTAAATTGAGCTTTGATCACATCATTAGCGGCAAAGAGTGAAGATCGAACTCGAGTCTTACTCCTTTAATATTACATGTCTTAACCAACTGTGTAACACCCCACCAACAAAACTTTGGAAGGTAAATTTTTTATATTAGTCGGCCCACCGCATTGCAGTCGCACAACAAGAAACTCCGACCTTCGGTTTGGACCTAGAGATTAGTATACTTCATATTTTGTATTTTTTATGCTAAAAACATTTTAGGCTTTATTTTTTTAGGAAAAAACATTTTAAGTTGAGGTATTAAGTTTTGTAAATTGTAATGTTTAAATAAAATAATTTTTGATGAGATGGTCTAATATTGATATAAACTTAAAAAATAGAAATTAAAAGCAAATGATATGATTAAACTTTTTTAATAAATGATAGATGAACATTGAAAAAGAAAGAAAATATTTGAATCATAAGAAAAAATGGATTTGCAAAAATAGTTGGACAGGAGTGTTGTTATTGAAAGTCTCTATTTTTATTATTCATTAAATAAGATGCTAAAATCATATCCTCTCTTACTTTGTAAAATTTTTGATATACAGAGTAATTTTTTGTAGCCATAATCAACTAGATTAAATACGAAAATTTGGGATACATTTATTAGTCCAACTTCGTTTGGAATTATTGTTTGTGATACATTTATTAGTCCAACTTCGTTTGGAATTATTGTTTGTATAAAGTGTTTTGGATTATGTTTTAGCTATGCAAATTAATTTTAAAAACACTAAAGTTAAATTGAGTATATGAGCACAATTTGCCATTTCAAAAAACATTTCTCACACATAAAGAATTCACATTCATTATGCATTATGTTAAACCATATCTCCATTCCCTATATATTAGCATTGCTAATTTGGTAAACTTGAATGTCATGGTCATCTTTTGTTTTGTAAAATTCAAATAATTCGAGCGACAATCAAACATAAAAAAATAACAATATAAAGATTTACTTGGGAAAGAGAAGTGTGTTTCATTCATCCAAATTTTGTCATTGGTTTACAAATGCCATTTTTCAGACTCCATTTTTCAATATATCCATACTCCAGTCTCGACTTTAATTAAAATAGTATTGCATTCTTCTTCAAATGCCGGAAGATTCATTCTCCATAATTTAGTTATCCAACTCTTGCGGTGAAACGTAACTCAGTGGTTGATATAAAGATGCTACAAAGAAGAGAGCCTGAGTTTGAAACTTGATGGTTGCAATGAAGAACAACCATACAAAACATGAGGTCCCTACATATACCATATACAAAAAACTAAAATGACTGAGATTATAATTCAATTTACTCCCCTCAGCTAACTATCCGACTGATGCTGAGGGCCTCGGGGATGGAGGTTCATCCTTTTTTTAAGTTATCCAACTCTTCATTCAAATTTTAGTCAATATCGAGTAGGTATTTATTTTTGAAAGAAAAAAATGATTTATGAAGCACTAATCTTGTCTCACACGTAGATCCACTTAGGCAACATTCTGTTCAACTTATTTTTTCTTCTTATTACATATTCTTATTATAATCAGATTAGAAACAATTTTAATTATAATTGCAATCAGAACAAACCAGATATTCAAAAAATCAGATCAGATCAGGCGACGAAATGCAGCCTTAGCCCAATTCTTTAACCCAATTCTTTAACGGAGTACGCCAAAGAATGAAAAAAGTTAGGGGTACACCAAGTTTGTATCACAACTTTTACATCAAGCGTATCACAGACAATAGTTGTATGCGCGGTACACTTGCGTTTTGTGTATGTCTGTGATACACTGGTGTGCAAGTTAGGATACAAACTTGGTGTACCCCTAATGCACCCCCATAAGAATACATCACATGGAATCAAGTACTTGTCTTATTTAACATTGACAAATAGTAGACTAGCGAAGGACGAGTAGTAGCTACTCAGCTAATGGACCCCGTCTGTCTTTCACTCTTTCCTTTTTACATCACTCCCATGGGTAAACTTGACTTGTAAAGAGAGGTGTAACGTTGTCAATGCAGTTTCATTGCGCATGACTTTCAAAACACTTTTTTCTTTTAGATACTTTTGTAAAAGTTTGTGCTACCCCCCTCACTTTCCCCTACCCTCCCGAACCATTCCCCTCCATATTCACTCCCATTAGTGATGCTCTAATTAGATAGTAACACAATGGTAAAAATCAGAATAATGTACCAGTATAATTTGCGGTATTAAACAGGAGGCCAACTGCATACAGTTTGACTTGTTATGCATAGATGGATATCTCGCGGAGTTAGGGGGCATCTGAGTTTGAAGGGACAAACTTGAGAGATATACTATTCACGCAATGACGCTCGTCCGTTGGGGTAGGGAACCCTTCACCCTTGAAAACATGACCAAGGTGCCCTCCGCAGGCAGCACATGTTATTTCTATTCTCCTCCCATCTGCATCAGTCTGATCAAACAAAGGCATTCCACCGCGATGTTAAAAATTTTACAACAAATCCACTAGAATCCCACAAATAGTAAGGTCAGGGCAATGGTAATAATATTATACTCCGTAGGAAATAAAATGACACCATATATAGTGTGGGGAGGGAACTCACATTACGGTTAATGGCACCAGGAAGGCCCTCGTAGAAAGCAGGCCAACCGCAGCCTGAGTTGAACTTTGTGGTGGACCGGTAAAGAGGAGTTCCACATCCTCCACACTTGTAAACTCCCTCTTCAAAATGCTTGTCATATTCCCCAGTTCCTGGGTACCTAAGTCATAACATTTTCAAAGGAAGTAAATATATACTAAGTAGCTATTATTGAGCCATGAGCAACAGTACATTAACACATCTCACACTAAAATTCGTTTTACCTCCTCCAGACCTAAGTGTAGGTAGCCAAATTTTTTTTCAAAGTGTAGCCAATTTGAAATGTTAAAATCTCACATCAAAATGTTAGAAAGACATACAGATACATGCACATTTTTTAATGAACCAATTTGACCAAAAACTCAACCTTATGGTTGTAGGTCTAGAAAAGGTTTTTATATTCAAACACGCCCCTCACACCATTATACTAGTGGACCCTACTCTGAACCTCTCTCAACGCCCCTCAAATGCAGTATGAGATCCGATATTTGTTTTATTATTGTTATTGTTGTTCTAAACGATTAAAATACTTGTAGTTGTAGACAACATGGTCTGCATAGTGCATACATACAAAACCTTAGTAATGGAAGCTTATAAAACAGGTAGTTTGGTTGCCTGACGTGCCTCATTACATCTAACACTATTAAAATATTTATTATTGCTTTGCAAATATGCATTGATGCAGAGAAGAACACCCGAGTTCCATTCAATTCTCTCTGCTCTCCTCTTAGTTCATAGCGAGTAGTTTGTTTCGTCCTTGACATTGACAAAATCATCTTTCCTGGAAGTTTTCAATAAAAGAGTTTTATTTCTCAACTTGTTTTCAAAATCATCATATTCCGCGGAACAAACTCTTTTTTGAAATAAAACAAGTTGAGAAATAAAACTCTTTTTTGAAAACTCCACGGAAAGATAATTTTGTCAAATGTCAGGGACAAAACAAACTCCTCGCTATGAACTAAAAGGAGAGCAGAGAAAAATGAATGGAACTCAGGTGTTCTCTGTATCAATGCATGTGTTAGATGTAATGAGGCAACCAAACTAGCTGTTTTATAAGCTTGCATTACTAAGGTGTTGTATGTATGCAGACCATGTTATCTGCAACTACAAGTATTTTAATGGTTTAGAACAACAATAAAAATAATAAAACAAATATCGGAGCTCACGTTGCATTTGGATTAAGAAAACACTAGAAATACTGAAATGTTTGCATAAAATTTGGAGAAAACGTACTCAGTCCCTTTCTGCCTTAAGATCCGGAACTGTTCGGGAGATAGAATAGCGCGCCACTCCTCTTCGGATTTCTGAACGGAGCCTGTGGAAGCCATGGCAACGACAGATGAAGCTCTGAAGCCTCTCGAACAGCGGAAGCTAGATGATGAAATGTTCGGCTGGACAGATCTAGTAGAAGAAGACGATTTATCCGATAGGATTTTCTTCGATGCTGCAGAAGGAGGAACAAGGCTGATGGGTAGGAAACTGGAGAGGGGTGTGGATTTCAAAGAGAAGGATCTAGAACAAGAAATCGGGGAGAGGTTAAGGATCCGAACGCCCATTTTAGACTGAAATTAAATCGGGTGTTCCAGAAGAAATGTAACACAACTTTTGGGAGATACCCCGAGAACTAGATAATGTGTCTCATGATTAATGATGGGATAGAGGCCCAATTTTAGAGCAACTACTATTTTAACCCGTGCCACGCACGAGTTTGCATGAATTTTTTGACACTTTTGTAAATTAACTTCAATGCAATATTTTAAATTGAATTTATGAAAATATATCTAATATGTTTTTTATTACTATAGACATTGGAAACAAAATAAAATAAATAATTTGGTATTAAATATTTGGTAATGAAAATTCTTATATTAGTTATATACAAATTCAAAAGTAAACATCTCAAAGATTTTCTAAATCTATATTTTTGAAAGACTTTTGGGTATACAATAATTTTGGTGTAGTTGCAAGGATTTTCGTTATCATTTAGAATTAATATTCTTAATTCCGCCTTTCCTTTTACTCGTGAAACAGCACCGCAAAGTTGGTCATAAGTGAACACCGAATTGATTAAAAATAATCCAACAAATGATAATGTTTGACTTTGACTTCGACTTTGTTAAAAGTCGTAGCAAAACATAAAACATTGGGAATTGTCTTTTCTAAAACTTTAAGAGTAATCGTGGATCAGATGGTACGAAATTCATTCTAGTTATGTAAACTTTTTTCTCGACTCATTTTTTTGAAACCACAATTGCACCGAAAACATTATTTCGTAGCTTTTTAACGATTAGTCTGTCATCATGCAATTCAGATATTCGTTCAATGTTTCTCAATAGCATATATAATTGGTGGCCTTTTTTTTCAAAACTATTTTATGGCTTGAGATTCTCGAATATTTGATTTCATTTAAAACTCAATTGTTATTCAATCGCCATCAACACCTACATCTCAATTTTTTTCGCATGAAGAATCAGAATTCAAATACTCCTTTAAATTGTCTAGTACTAAAATCAAACCATAAAAATCAATATATTCGAACTATAAAATTACGTATAGTATTTCTTTATTTTAACACAATTATAGTCCATTCACCGCTTGTTTTATAACTAATTTAGTGTTATTTTTAAAATATTTTATATGTTTTAATTTTACATCAATATTGCAATAAATAGAATCTAAACTAAATTATAACATATCATAAACAAATATCCGGATGACATTGATTTAGGGGTAAAAATTGTATCTTATTTATTAATTGAAAGTTTTTTTTGTTTGGGGGGATTGAAAGTTTTATTATAAGGCAAATTTTTTCGCAGTCCTACGGTCCATGTTCATTTTATAGACCTTGGTATATTAATATCATAAAAGAATTGGATCTTGTTTTTAAAAAATATTCACCTGTCAGTCCATTAAAAGTGTAAGAAAGTTCACATTTCACACGTGGACCTTAGAATCACATTTTACCAAAATGTTGATTTTATGTTTTCTATGTTTCAAATTAGGTGGTATATAATGTGTTATTCCAATAAGAAATTTCATAATAGGTGAAGAAAGTATTTATTTAGTAGGAGCCAATATTTAAATAAATATAATCAAACTAACTCCATTTAAAGGTATCGTAAACAAATTCGTAATACTTCGTATATTATTTATTTATGAAGAGAAATCTTTGTTTATTATTTTAAAAAAATCAATTTTAGTGTAGTCATGTATTGATTTTTAAATTGTTTAATCTATTTATTAAAATGTATTGTTGTTTTTAATTTTACATTGTTATTGAAATAAATATAATCAAAACTAATTTCATTTTAAAATATTATAAACTAATAATTGTATGAAAATTATTTAAATGTGAAAAAATCATCTTTTTTATTAACAAATTTTTTTTATAAATGAAGCAAGTAAAAAATATTTTAATGCATTGGAAAGAGTATTTTCATAAGAATGAATGTTTCTCTTTAACAATTAAACTTATTCAAATATTTTATACCAAAACATTTAATTTACATTTTCTTAGGGCTGTCACGAATAGCCAAAAATCTGATTACCGTCCGCATCCGTATTCGTTTAAAGAGGAAATATCCGCATCCGTTTTAAACGGATATTATCCGTATCCGATTACTAAACGGATATGGATTTAGTAATTGTATATCCGGTCCGTTTAAAATCCGATTCGAATATGCTTCCGTTCAAATAACCGTTTATCGGAATATCCGATCCGTTATATATATATATATATATATATATATATATATATATATATATATATATATATATATATATATATATATATAGTTTTTACTAATGTTTTTATGTTTATATTTTGTTTCTCTATTAATATTTCAAAGTATAAGACATTTTTATATACAAAATAAATGTGTAGACACATAAAAATATGTGCAGACATATAAAAATATGTGTATATATGTGATGTGTATATCTTTTTATCATATAAATTTATCGTAAAATATCATAAATCATGACAATAAAGAAAATAATTATTCCATAACAAATTATACTCCCTCCGTCTCTAAATAGATTACAATTTTTCTCTCTCTCCTCTCGATAACTTTTGTTTGTTTACGCGATTTCATTAAGTATTTGATAAAATAAAATATTCTTGTCACCTCTTGTTTTGTAGAACTCTTGACGTAGTTTTTTAATATGTAATTTTTATATCTTATTGATATACCAATTTGTAAATAAAATGATTTCAAAAAGTAAGAAATTTTACTCCCCGTAACTCGCAATTTGTAATCAAATTGGGGACAGAGGGAGTATTTGATTTAATAATATTTTGACTTCAATCTAATTTAAAATTAAAGTATTGTTTAATTAGATTTTAAAAATTGGAAACGGATACGTATATATCCGATATCCGACCGATATCTGACGGATGCGGATACAGTTTTGATTTTCAGTATCCGTCAAGATCCGTATCCGAATTCGATATCTGACAAAAATAAATGGATACAAATTTGGTAATGGCACATCCGATCCGATTAATATCCGTTTACACCCCTACATTTTCTATATTGTAAATTAAGTGATACCTTAAGTGTCATAAAAATATAAAATTTATTTATAAGTAAAGGAAGTATTTTATTTAATAGGTGTCAATATTTAAATAAATACAATCAAAGGGATATCATGTAAATGTATAATGAATAAATATAAAATTTATTTAGGCCCTCAACAAGAAGAACGTTCTCAACGGTTGTAGCATTGTCCTTTCCGACGGTGCCACTTCCAATGATTCTTCCTTTGTTGTTGTCACCAAAAACAACATTGCCACCTTTGAAATTCTCTAAACTCCTAAATTTGGATGCGTCTCCGGTCACGTGCTTGGAGCATCCGCTATCGAGATACCAAGAGGTACTCGAAGCCTTCAAGCACACCTACAAAAAGATATCAAGGAGACGGTTTAGGTACCCATGTATTGTTGGGTCCTTTTTGGTTAGCATATGTGCGATGTGTGTGCGTTTGTTGAAAATGCATAATTTTGGTGAAGCACACGGGTGCAATGTGACCTATCTTATTGCAATAGTGGCAAATAACATTTGGATTATTCATCCTATATGGTTGAGTGTAATGAGTTATAGGTTTGCTAGGATGTGCTTTTCTAGTTTGATTATTTATCCTAGCATTTTTATTCCCCCTAGCTTTAACAAATATTGTTTTTCTAGGTTGGTTTTTCTTATATCCAAGTCCTTCACCATTACTAACTTTTTGCTTAAGTATTTTATCTAAGGTGTTTGAAGCATTATTGAACTTTCCCAATTTGCTCTCTAAACTAGTAACCTTAGCTTTTAGTGATGTACAACTAGAGCATGTAGAAGAAGAAGTAGTTGAAGGTTCTTGTGGCCTTTTTCCAAAAGAGATAATTTCTTGTTTAAGTTT